ATATCAAGGGCAAGGTTACACATTAGCTTTGCAAATTCTCGGCATCAAACTACCATATACTTTCTACACCTTTTTATGTTTCACAATGTATTTTAATTATTTGCTTTTTTTTCTTCTCTGTTTATCAGTTTTTAATATATCTGACAGCGAGCTCTTGATCTTGTCGCCTGTACATCTTGTCTGTGCTCAGTGCAGGGTCTTGACCTAGTACATGCCTTCTTCAAAAGCATTGTGTGCTTTTTAAAACTTCCATCCCCTGTAGTTATGACTGCATGTGCCAGGCCTCTAGAAGTTAGTGTGTTAAGCTGAACCAACTGGGAGTCGCTGTCCATACATAGGGCTTGTTTTCCAAAGAAAAATATTGTTTAGAGTAGCAAACTTATAAGCCTGCTCAGGCATGTTGTAAAGCCGCTGGAAAAGTAACTTGGAGCAAGTTTTGTGAATGGAAATGTAGTGCTCAAGTCACATTCTGCTTTAAAAAGTTGTANCTACCACATACCCCAGTGCATCCTTATCTGCCTTTTGCCTCAGTCAGATCATACCTTCTTCCTTCCCAGCTCCACTCTTCACTTTCATCTGTTTCTGTATTATTTCCTGCTTTTGGACTTTTAGAATTATTTCTTTTAGATGAGCTTCACGTGTGAGGTTAGAGAATATGGATTTTGTATTTTCAATGGATATTGTGGTCTGGGAGTGGAGGAAAGAAATGCATCTTAAAAAAGCTAAATGACCTGTTACTATAGAACTCTCAGAACGTTGGTATCCTCCTGACCTCCGAGAGCAGCCTGTAGCCAGCACTTCTTAAACTTATGTGACCAGGGAGCCTTGTTATCTAAGCACATGGTGGGCCTCCCCAGGTCACAGTTGGGAAAACCTTGCTCTTTAAAATCCATCCTTTTCTTCCCCCCTAAATATTTATTGAACAAATATTGACAAAACTGGTCAGAACTCTCAGAGGAGGGACATGGAAGACAGGATCTGTCACCCTTTCCTTTTAATCCATCAGTGCTTGTTGTGTCAGAATCTTGCAAGATGTGTGTGGTGGGGTGGGAGGTGACCCGCACTTCCTGCGAGATTTAGTTTGAGGGACTGATTGATGGTGCTTGGATTTCGAATCAGAGGTCTTCTCCGAGCCCTGAAGCCCAGATGATTTGCGGATGAAGTTTCTCCTCTGGGCTTTCTGTGTTGATTCTGGAACCAGCTGGGGGTGGAAGAGAAGTGGGAGAGAAGGTAGAGAAGAGTGTTCATCAGGTGCTTGCAATGTGCTGGTACTAAATTTAGTTCATCCGCTTTCTTTAAGGAGATCACAGTCTAGTGGGAAGAAAAAGATGTTAGAATAATTAAGGCAGTATAATACAGCATAAGATAAAACTATGAAGATCTTGTACCCTGGTTTCTCTAAAAATATGTATATTTATTCATTTTGCTGTGCTGGGTCTTAGCTGCAGTATACAGTATATTTAGTTGTGGCATGCAGACTCTTAGTTGTGGCATGAGCGCTCTAGTTCCCTGACCAGGGATCGAACCTGAGCCCCCTGCGCTGGGAGCGTGGAGTTTTAGCTACTGGAACACCAGCAAAGTCCTACCCTGGCTTTTTTAGTGGCACCTCATTGTTCTACTTTGATAAGCCCTGTAATTATCAGCATTTGACTTCGTATTTTACTATAGAGTAAGTTTAAGGCCAGGCAATATCCACCTACCTGCATATTTTACATATAAAAACACAGATTTTTGTAAGTAATCATCTACTAGGTGTTACTAAGAAGGTGAGAGAGTGTGGAGGAGGAGAGTGAGCAAATAAGTTAGAGAAATCTTTTAATCTAATACTTCATATCCCTTCTACTGAGGAACAAATATAAAGATTTGCTCATTTGGTTTCACAATCTTCCTTTGCCTTGGCATCCAATTAGAGAAAATGGATTTTAAAAATCCAGCAGCAACTTCCAAGAAGATGGAGGAGACAAGTTTTTCCCTATTCCTCCTGCTAAGTACAACTAGAAACACAGAACATTATTTCTAAAACAACCATAAGAACACTCTGAGAAGTGAAGAGAAGACAACCGAGCCAAGGAACTTGGAATCCAAAGAATGACATGGTGCTGAGTTCCTCATTTTTGTTTTGGCTTGTGGGGATTTTTGTTTTTCTGTAATTGAAGTATAGTTCATAATGTTGCATATCAGATGTACAGCAAAGTGATTTGGTCATGCATATATGTATATGTATATATTCTTTTTCCATTACAGTTTATCACAGTATATTTAGTATAACTCCCTGTGCTCTCCAGCAGGTCCGTGTTGTCTATTTTATATATAGTGATGCCATCTGTTCATCTCATATTCCAAATCTACCCTTCCCCTCATTCCTGCTTGGTAACCATTAAGTTTGTTTTCTATGAGTCTGTTGCTGTTTGGCAAATAAGTTCAATTGTACTATTTTTTAGGTTTCACCTGTAAGTGATATAATCTTTGCCTTTCTCTGTCTGACTTCCTTCAATTAGTAAGATTTCTAGATCCATCTATGTTGCTGCAAATGGCATTCTCATTCTATTTATGGTTAAGTAATATTCCTTTGTATACAGATTGACCACATATTCTTTATCCATTCATCTGTCAGTGAACATTTGTTTTGCTTCCATGTCTTGGCTAAAAATCACTGTGAACATTCGGGTGCATGCATCTTTTGATTTAGCGCTTTTGTCTTTCCTGGATATATGACCAGGAGCAGGATTACTCGGGGGTTTCCCTGGTACCTCAGCTGGTAAAGAATCCGCCTGCAGTGCAGAAGACTCCGGTTCAATTCCTGAGTCAGGAAGATCCCCTGGAGGAGGACATGGCAACCCACTTCAGTATTCTTGCCTGGAGAATCCCCATGGACAGAAGAGCCTGGTGGGCCATAGTCCATGGGGTTGCAAAGAGTTGGACACGACTGAGCGACTAAGCAGAGCATAGCACGGAATTGCTGGATCATATGGTAACTATTTTTTTATTTTATTAAGGAACCTCCATACTGTTTTTCATAGTGACTGCAGCAATTTACATTCCCACCAATAGTGCAAGAGGATTCCCTTTTCTCCACACCCTCTCCAGCATTTATTACTTGTGGACTTTTTGATGATGGCCATTCTGGTGTGAGGTAATAACTCATTGTAGTTTTGATATGTATTTCTTTAACAGTTAATGATGTTGAGCATCTTTTCATGTGCTCCTTGACCATCTGTTTGTCTTCTTTGGAGAAATGTCTCTTGAGGTCTTTTGCCCATTTTTTAATTGGGTGGTTCTTTTTTTTGTTATTGAGTTTTATTCACTGTTTGTATATTTCAGAAATTAATTAAGCTCTTGTTGGTTGCATGGTTTAATCAACCAGTAATATTGTTGGTTTTATTAGCTGTTTATGTTTTAGAAATTAAGTTTTATTAGGTGTTTATATGTTTTGAAAATTAAGCTCTTGTTGGTTACATGGTTTAACCAACCAATAATAAAATTTGCAACCATATTGCATGGTTGCAAATACTTTATCCCACTCCATAAGCTATCTTTTCATTTTGTTTATGATTTTCTTTGTTGAGCAAAGTCTTGTAAGTTTGATTAGGTTCCATTTGTTTAGTTTTGCTTTTATTTCTATTGCCTCGGGAGACTGACATAAGAAAACATTGGTATGATTTATGTCTGAAAATGTTTGCCTATGTTCTCTTCCAGAAGTTTTATGATGTAATGTCTTATATTTAAGTCTTTAAACCATTTTGAGTTTATTTTTGTGTATAGTGTGAGGGTGTATTCTAACTTCACTAATTGTGGCTGTTAGCTTTTGTAATACCACTTACTAAGGGACTTTTTCCCACTTTATATTCTTGCCCCCTTTGTTGAAGATTAATTGACCTTAGGTGTGTGGGTTTATTTCTGGACTGTCTACTCTGTTCCATAGATTTGCTTTGTTCTTTTTCCTCAGGATTGCTTTGGCAATTCTGGGCCTTTTGTGGTTCCAAATAAATTTTAGAATTATTTGTTTCAGTTCTATGAAAAAAATGTCATGGGTAATTTGATAAGGATCACATTAAATCTGTAGAGTTCCCTTGGATAGTTTGGCCATTTTAACTACATATATTAATTCTTCCAGTCCAAAAGCATGATTATTTTTCCATTTTCTTGATTCATATTTGATTACCTTTATCAATGTTTTACAGTTCTCAGTGTATGAGTCTTTTACATCCTTGGTTAGATTTATTCCTAGATATTTTTTTAATGGGATTTTAATGGGATTTTTTTTGTTTTTTTATTTTTTTGCTCTCTGGTAGTTCATATCACTGTAAAGAAATACAACCAATTTCTGCATATTAATCTTGAATTCTGCTATCTTGCTGAATTCATTTATCAGTTCTAATAGTTTTCATGTGGAGTCTTTAGAGTTTTCTATATAGAGCATCATATCATCTGTATGCTATGATAATTTTACCTCTTCCTTCCAATTTTGATATCTTTTATTTCTTTTTTTTGTCTGATGTTTTTGTCTTGTTTTGCTTTATTCTTGCCTTATATATGTCAGCTTGGAGCTGAAGAAGATGAAAATCCAGAAATGCCAGTGTGTACAGACCAAAACAGCCCCAACAAAAGCCAGCTCTCTCCAGCCAAAGGACCGGGAAAGGGGCAGCCCAGCAAAACAGAAAATGTGTGGATGGCAGCCTCTCCTCTAGCCAGACATCGTAGGAAAAACGATGGTGTTATCCAGACCCGTGCCTGAAAAGACTGAGTGGCAAGCCCTGACTTCCACCCTCAAGGAGGCCACAACAAGCGCACCCCAGCCTCACTGCCTGCCAGCAGGGAGCTGACTTTTCATCCCTACTAGTAGCGATGAGGCACCTTCTCCTCTCCCCTCTGGGATTTGAGAAGAGATGGCCTAGTGGAGGCTCAGGACTTGGATGTTGACAGTAACAAGGCTCCCTCCCCATTGCGGTGTCAGTGAAGACCACGTGGAGGGCTGTAACAGTGCCCTGCCTCCCTGCCAGGCCAGGAGGGCACCCGTGGAGGCCCCGTGGGGAGTCAGGACCGCCGCCTCCGCCCGGCGGTAACAAGGGGCCCCTCCCACCCCCGGCGTCAGCGGAGTCCAAGTGGAGAGCGACGCGGCTCTCCCTGGCGGGGCTCTGTCCTCAGATCAAGGGAGACAGAAGGTTTCAGTAAGATCTAGAATCTCACAGCATCATACCTCAGATGTCCAAGCTTCAGTGGAGTATCCCTCAACAGACCAATATCCCTTATCAATTTAGATACATAAATAAAATATATCACCACTGGGAAGACTAAGGAAAGTATACAGTGAGTTTCTCTGTATTTGTCCTACAACCATATGTGAATCTGTAAGCATCTCAAAATTAAAAGTTTGAAAAGAGTAACAAAGGAGTGAGATAAAGAGAGCTGTAGATTCTACCTAATATTAGTAGAGTTCCAAAAATATTGCACAGATGATTGCAAACCCAGATTATTTTGCTTCAGTAGATTTCTGAACATTTCACAACACTTTTTAATGTGATTGAAGAACCCTTAAGATGCCACAATTTTAGGGCTAGGAAATAGTGCTGTAAGTAACTGAGAACTAACATCAAATGCAAACATAATGTTATTGTTCTTCTTTGTTATCTTATCCTTAGATATTTTAGTATGATATGAGCAAATATTGTTAATCTGTTACAAAGTAAAGTATAATTTTTTTTGAAAATGTGCAGTTTTAGAAGAAACTTTAGAGTCAACATTAATGACCCAAAGCATAGTGACCCTACCTGGGGCTTATTCATTCACTCTCCAACCTTGGCACCCTGCACCCCTACCCAAATGTTATCATAATCCTCACAGGGCACAGAATTCCACTAGGCAGTGTGACCTTGGCATTCTCAATGTGCCATTACTCTATCCTGGAGGAAATGATATGACATTGGTGATTAATAATGATGTTTCTTCCCAACTGCTTTAATTTCTGTTATACCTTTGTCATACCTTTGCAAGTATACCCTGGTTTAAGAGGGTGTAAGGAAGAGTTCAGTCTTCCGAGGTGGCACAGCGGCTTTACCGCTGCCAGTGCCGGATACACAAGAGATTCGGGTTAGATCTCTAGGTTGGGGAGAGCCCCTGGAGTAGGAAATGACAACACACTCCAGTATTCTTGCCTGGGTAATTCCATAGCAAAAGGAGCCTGGCAGGCTATAGTTCCTGGGGTCCCAAAGAGTTGGACACGATTGGACACACACAATGGACAAGGAAAGGATCATTTTTGGAAATATCCATTAAAGCCAGTTATGTTGGAAATCAGCATCACCCTCGTCCATAACATCTTACAAATGCCTTCCAAAGTGATGGAGCCAAGTTAGATGAATTTTATATGAGCAAAGAAAAGTGAGACCAAAAGGGAAGGATTTTTAGGAGATAAGAGATCAGAGGTGGAGAGAAATTTTTGTTTTTCAAGCAGATAAGGTTTTTGAAAAGAATTTTGGGAGAAAATTGTAAGATTGAACATAGTTTGAAAGCAGTGAAGAGAAGAGAAATTATAATCTATCAACTTGGAGAGGAAGATGGAAGATCTAAGCAGAGGTATCAGTGGCAGGAAATTTGGAAACAGAATGTAGTGAAGTGTGAAACTGTTAGTCGCTCAGTTGTGTCCGACTTTTTGTGACCCCATGGATTGTAGCCTTCCAGGCTCCTCTGTCCATGGAATTCTCCAGGCAACAATGCAGGAGTGGGTAGCCTATCCCTTTTCCAGGGGATCTTCCTGACCCAGGAATCTAACTGGGGTCTCCTGCATTGCAGGCAGGTTCTTCAACAGCTGTAGGGAAGTGTGGTGACATGCAAATATAACAGTCAAATATAACATCTAACAGTCTATCTTCAGAGATGAAAACTCAGAGAATTGTTAGCCACGAATACAATACAGTGGGAGAAACACTGCAGAGAATATTACCATCAAGCTGAAGGTTCACTGGACAGAGAACCGACTCCATCATTCTGCAGAGAAAACTGTTGCAAATTAATACACATGTAAATATAATATAAAATATATAAAATAGTATATTCGATTATTACAATGTAATATTATATAAAATATACAAAATATTAAGTATTTTAAAATACTTTGGTTGATGGAGTTCGTTCTTCCCTTCGGCTCTTCATTATAAGACATTTCTTTTTTCCATGTAAATCTTTTATGCTACAGCTTAAAGCTATGGATCTATTCAGCACACATTTAATGACCTTCAAGTGCTTTGGGGACAGATACAGAGATAGGCCTGACTCTGCTGGCAGTAGTCTTCCCCAGGGAATCCTAATTCCATTCACTTTTTAGGAATTGCAATTTCCTCACCTTTAAACTGAGAATAATGCCACCTCACTCGTTTACCTTGAACGCGCTTCTTTTGAGATTTGAATGAGGTGATACCTGCATGTGATGGCTTCATAATTTTATAAAACACTATAGAATCTGGTTTTTGTATTGATATATTCTCAGTCCATTTTGAGGCAGGAGCTGAGAACTGTTTTTCTTTAGGTCCTCAAATCCTTGCACAAGGTCTGGTACTTCGTAAGCGTGGGTAGCAAATGTTGGCTCCCTCATTGAATAAAGCAGAGAAAAATACCTTTTTTTCCTCGGATCTGATGTATTACTGAGGTGACAATAAACAGCAAGCACAGTCATTTCATAAATTATATAGTATTCTAGGTGGTGGGAAATGGTGTGGGAAGGAAAACTGAGGCAGAGTAAATGGGAACTGGGAGGCCTGGGGGTCAGAGATGCGGTTTTCAAGGAGGTCAGGAGTGGTCTCTTTGACAAGACGGGAATGGAGAAGAGGCTTGTAGGAGATGAAGGTTTCAGCCCTGTGAGTATTTGGGGGAAGAGACGTGGGGCAGACGGAACGCCTAGCACAGACACCCTGAGGTGTCTTGTTTGAGGTGTAATTCTGTCTTGTTTGAGGAACGTCCGAGAAGCCAGTGTGGCTGGCAAGAGTGCGGGAGGGAGAGAGGTAGAAAATGAGGTCAGAAACATCACAGAGAGGGCCAGCCGCTGCAGGCCAAGGCTCCCAATGGACTGGGGCCTCTGGGCAGTTCGGATCTGAGGCGCCACGTGCTCTGACCCACTTTTCAGATGACTCGCTCTGGCTTCTGCTTTGAGAGTGAACAGAGGCAGCGGAGGAGGCAAAGACGGGGGCAGAGGAGCCTGAGGAAGAGAGGGCAGCCTGAGGAAGCTGCCGCAGCCCCTCGGGTGAGAGACGAGGGCAGCCCAAGGAAGCTGCCGTAGCCCCTCCGGTGAGAGATGAGGGCAGCTTGCGTCACGCTGGTCGAACTGGGGAGAGACAGGCAGGCAGACCCGGTGGCGCAGTGAGGAAGTACCGCCAACCAATTCAAGAGACGCAGGAGACCTGGGTTCAATCTCTGGGTCAGGACGATCCCCTGGAGGGGGAAGTGCAACCTACTCCAGCATTCTTGCCTGGAGAATCCCATGGACAGAGAAGCCCAACGGGACCAATGGTCCAAGGGGTCCCAAGAGCCGGACATGACTGAGCAACTGAGCATATATTTTGAAGCCAGAACCTATAAAATCTTCTCATGGAGTATGAGGTGGGGAAGAAAGAGAAGAATGCAGGATAACTCTTAATATTTTTGCTGGTCAACTGGATGGCTGGAGCTGTCAACTAAGGAGAGACACCTGTCAGAGAGGCCAGCTTAGGGGAAAGGTCAAGAGTCAAGGTTGGCACATTAAACATCCAAGTAGAGGGATCAAAGATGCAGTTTTGTATATGAGCCAGGAATTCAGGAAGGAAGTCTAGATTAGAGAAAAAAACTTAGACATTGTTGGATACAGATGGTACTTAAAGCCATGAGTCAGGCTGAGATCACAGAAGGAGGGAGACTAGACAGGGAAGATTCAGAGTCAGCCTTGGAGCGCCCCAGTGTTGGCTGAGAGGCAGAAAGAAGAGGCACAAACTGAAGGACATTGAGGAAGAATGACCAGTAAAGCAGAAGAAAATCCAAGAAATACGTGGTGTCCTGGAATTCAAGTGACGAAAATGTATCAAGGAAGAGAGAAAGATAAATTAGAAAATGTGTCAAGGAAGAGAGAAAGATAAATTTGTCAGCTGCTTGAATTTGTTAAGTCAGATGAGGACAAAAAATTGACCTTTGGATGTAGCACGGTAGAGGTTATCAGTGACTTCACCAGGGCAGTTTTGGTAGTGTGAATGGTCAAACTCCTGATGTGAGTGTGCTTCAGAGAGGAGGAAACAGAGAAAGTGATAGAACTCTTTAAAGTAGTTTAGCTGCAAAGAGAAGGAGGGAAATGCAGTGGCAGTTAGTAAGAAAAGTGGGGTCAAGAGAATATTTTTTTTTTAATTTTTTATTAGTTGGAGGCTAATTACTTTACAATATTGTAGTGGTTTTTGTGAGAGGCCAGCTTAGGGGAAAGGTCAAGAGTCAAGGTTGGCACGTTAAACATCCAAGTAGAGGGATCAAAGATGCAGTTGTGTATATGAGCCAGGAATTCAGGAAGGAAGACTAGATTAGAGAAAAAAACTTAGACATTGTTGGATACAGATGGTATTTAAAGCCATAAGCCCGGCTGAGATCACAGAAGGAGGGAGACTAGACAGAGAAGATTCAGAGTCAGCCTTGGAGCGCCCCAGTGTTGGCTGAGAGGCAGAAAGAAGAGGCACGAACTGAAGGACACTGAGGAAGAGTGACCAGTAAAGCAGAAGAAAATCCAAGAAATACGTGGTGTCCTGGAATTCAAGTGACGAAAATGTATCAAGGAAGAGAGAAAGATAAATTTGTCAGCTGCTTGAATTTGTTAATTCAGATGAGGACAAACAATTGACCTTTGGATGTAGCACAGTAAAGGTTGTCAGTGACTTCACCAGGGCAGTTTTGGTAGTGTGAACGGTCAAACTCCTGATGCGAGTGTGTTTCAGGGAGGACAGGAAGACAGGAAAAAGAGAAAGTGATAGAACTCTTTAAAGTAGTTTAGCGGCAAAGAGGAGGGAAATGCAGCGGCAGTTAATAAGAAAAGTGGGGTCAAGAGACTAATTTTTAAGATGGAGAAACAGGGATGGTCCAGCAGGGACAGAAAAGTTGACGAGGCAGGAGAGAGAAGGAACAATATCTGCGAAAGAACTCATTCCTGAGGGGCTGGGATCCACAGCATAAAAGTACAAACAAAAGGACTGGTTGCATAGAAGGGCCTGGATAGTTCATTTGGAGAAGCTGGTTCTTTTAGGGAAGCCAGGGTGCTGGGTGCAGACGCTGGTCAGTGGGTAGGTGTCATGGCAGGTCCCTTCCAAACACCGTGACTTTTATCAGTGAAATAAGAAGCATAGTACTTTAGCAGAATGTGAAGATATAAAATGACTGAAAGATATTTGAGGGAAAAGGAAGCATGAAGTAATGGTCTGACATAGTGGAAGAGTGAATAAGGAAACAGTTGCTATTAGGCAGCAAAGGTTGGAATACACCAGTGGATAAGACAGCAAAAACTTTGTTCTTATGAATCTTGCATCCCTCAGAATGGACAATAAATAATAAGCATAGTAAATACATTAAATATATAGTAAAGGATTACTTAGTTTCATGGTGGGACAAGTCAAATGGTTTTGTGTTCTTCTTTAGCCATGCTCTGTTGCATGGTGGAAGCTTGCAGTAGTTGGATAATTTAAATTAGCCAGAGTTCTGGTTTTTACCAAGAAACCTGATAAACAGAGAAGGCAAGGGGTTGTGGATGTCTACAAGATGAGTGGAAGACAGCACACCAAGATAGTGAGGAACAGTTAAAATATGCTAAGATCAATGAATTGGAGGAAGAAGATGTTTTAACCATCCAATACATCTGACCCATCTTCTGCATCCCCACTGCCCTGCTCTAGTTAATGTGGTGGCTAAGAATAGTGGCAGGATTAGAATTCTGGCTCCATCAGTTATAACATCTGTGTTCTGTTTCACTTTAATTTTGTTTATCTCTGTTCAAATGTATTGCCTTAAGCACTATAGTTTCACAATAAAACTCTTGATATCCAGTAAGGCAAATCTCTGATGCATAAGAGCTGACTCACTGGAAAAGACCCTGATGCTGGGAAAGATTGAAGGCAGGAAGAGAAGGGGATGACAGAGGATGAGATGGTGGGATGACATCACTGACTCAATGGACATAAGTTTGAGCAAACTCCAGGAGATAGTAAAGGACAGGGAAGCCTGGCGTGCTGCAGTCCATGGGGTCACAAAGAGTGCAACACGACTTAGCAACTGAACGACAACAACAACAAAGGCAAATCTCTGAATAATTTTCCTAAATAAATGTGAAATAACTTTTCAGGAAAAAAAAGTTGATAAAAGTTATCACTGGCTAAAGGAAGCACAGAGTGTTCTTTAGGTAAAAGGAAAATGATCCAAGAAAGGGGCTCTGAGATGTAGGAAGAAATAAAGAAAAGGATAATACATATATAGATAAATCTAAATGATAATGACTATAAAATAATTTCTCATAAGGGTCATAAAAGATAGAAAAAAATGAAAGTGCATGACAGTAGTAGTGTGTAAATAAGAGGCGGATAAATGAGGTTTGAGAATTTTAAATTCCTTGCATTGGCCTGGAAGACGAAAAAGCACCATTGTTTAGTCAAAGATAGGTCATAATCTCTAGGAAAGAGTTAACTGTTAAACAGAAAATGAAATATGTACTTATTAACTCAAGAGAAAAGAAACAAAGAATAAAAATAATCCAAAATAGAAAATGAAATATGTACATATTAAATCAAGAGAAAAGAACCAAAGAATAAAAATAATCCAAAAAAAGCAATAATTAAGATTAAAAAAAAAAAACTAATGGAACATGTAGAAGAAGTAAGATGGAGGGAAGGATATTAACTCTACATCAAGGAAAACAAAGCAGGATGATCTCAATATCCTACCAACCAAAGAAAGTTGAGATTTCTTACAACCTGAGTGTCATGGAGAACTCTCCAGTTTATCACAGTGGCTTAAATACTGTTTTTTAATGACTAGCTGGATGGATGCACCAGGTAAGGTTTTTTTTTACTATTATTAGATAAATGTAAAAGTAGCCTTGCTGTAACACAGGCAAATACATAAGTACAGTCATGTGGGCATGGCTTCTCTCTCCCACACACTGGCCTCAGATGCAAGCAACATATGATGAACACTTATTATAGGGATAACTTTATCAACTGACTCTGACAGGGGAAAATGTCATATTCCTGTGTGTTGGTTTTTGTTTTTGTTTTTTTTAAATCAAAAGCTTCATACTTTCTCATGTGTCTACCTTTTCACTCCCCCAAGATGTCTTTTATAGAAATTTAACAGGCTACCACCCCACTCCAGTACTCTTGTCTGGAAAATCCCATGGATGGAGGAGCCTGGTAGGCTGCTAGGAGTCGGACACGACTGAGCAACTTCAGTTTCACTTTTCACTTTCATGCATTAGAGAAGGAAATGGCAACCCACTCCAGTGTTCTTGCCTGGAGAATCCCAGGGACTGGGGAGCCTGGAGGGGTGCCGTCTATGGGGTTGCACAGAGTCGGACACAGCTGAAGCAACTTAGGAGCAGCGGCAACAGACTACCATCTCCTTACAGGCTACTGAGTTTTATAATGTCCTCCTGTCACCACCAAGGATTCTTTAAGCTCAACAATTTCAGTTGCTTTAATTGTAGAGTATTTTTTGAATAGTGATCTGACCACCTGTTAGACTTGTGAAGAAGAGAAATTCTGGTTGATCAAAGAAGAGAATCCTCCTGATTGTGGTAGATGGGCTAAGAAGAAAAAACATTTTTAGGAAAACCTGTAAATAAACTCATTTCTAATAATTCTAGAACATGCCACAGTTTCAATCAACTCTAAGTCATCTCTTCAAGTTCTGCCTAGCTCAAGGTGATATGCAGAGCGGGGTAGAGATAAGTGGCATAATTTAGAGTGAGTGCTCGAGCTCCTGTCTCTTATCCCAGTCTCTCCTCATCAGCCTCTTCTGATCCTGTAACTATTAATACTAGGTACCTCTTATATGCCAGGCACTTTACACATATTATGTCTCATCCTAATAACACCTCTATTTTATGGTTTCCGTAAAATCAAGAATGAAGTAAATTGCCTAAGGCCAAACAGTAGGTGACACAGGTGAGATCCAAGGTCTGCTGACAGCACCTCCTCCTGGAGGATGCTCTGCGTTAATTTTCTCTGGGAACCCGAGAAATCCACGGGATGACTTCTGTGTTAACGAGAGCAGGAGCAAGGAGCCTCAGGTGACCCCGCTGCCTGCTTGGGAAGAAGGGAAGCCGTGCTTATGGAGTGCGTTCTGCTTCAGGCTCGGTGCTCGCTGCTTTCAGCTTCTCAGTTCATTCATTCCTCACAGTGACCTAGTCAGGGGGGTGTTTTATCCTCCCGTTACCATATGAGGAAACTGCGGCTTAGAGAAGCCAGAAAGTGTCCAGGGTGACATAACTAGTAAGATAGGAAGCTCTGAGTTCGAATCCCACTGGCTGCAAAGCTACGAGAACATGTTGCTCCCTGTTTTAGATTTTTCCTTTAGGAAGGAGTGTGGCGCGAGGCTAATGAAAAGGGACAAGAGAACCACACAGAGGATTCCCGTGAGCGTGAGGTTTAGAGACACTTGAGTCCAGGATCAGAAGAAGATGCCAGGAGATGACACTGGAGACTGGACCCTGGTCCTGAGGATGTAGCCACAGGCGAGACTCCACCTCTCTGGGCATCGGTTTCTTACTGGAAACGGAGTGGAGGAGAAGCGGTTTTGAATTTGGCGATTTCTAAAGCCCCCTCCAGCCCTAAAGGTCTGTGCCTCTGTTAAGAATGCACTGACTGCATTATCCTCCAAAGAGTTTAATGTTATGTTTTTGGGCGGCCCTGCCCTGTTCTCAGCGTCCCTAGAGATGGGTGGGTTCAGTGCCCCCCAGAGAGCAGACCCCGGGATGCAGAAGCAGCGGGAGGCGACCTAGGGGTCTCTCGTGTCCCTCAGCTGCCCCATCATTGGTGAGCATGTCCAAACTGTCCCCCGCAAGGCTTCAAAAAGAAAACTGCAGTGAAGGAGTGTGACCGTACTATGGAGGGCTCGAGTGGCCCGCCAGGCGAGGTTTTCTGAACTCCCAGCGGCACCAGGCTGGTCGCGGGGCTTATCGGCCGCAGCTGGCTCGGCGGGCCCGGGGCTGGCGGCTCGCCCTTGGGCCTGAGACTGGTTTCTCCCCAGGCTGAGATGGATCCAGAGGTGGGAAGGATCGCAACATTCCGGATTACCGAGACGAGGGAGGACGGATTTGAACTGGGCGTCAGCAGGTACATCACCCTCGGCCACCGCTTTTCTGCTTTTCTCCTTACATGCGAGTCAGCAGAGCCACATGTAGCCGAGCAAAGAAGTTGAGTTGATGATGCCTTTGGCCGTTGTTTTGGAGTTTCCCTAGAATCTTTTCTGTGGTTCTGACTTTACCCAAGGAATGTCACTGAGGCTTCTTTTGTGACAGGCTGGCTTTCCTGGTGGCTCAGTGGTAAAGTATCCCTCAGAGACTCGGGTTGGGACGATCCCCTTGAGACGGGTAAGGCAGCCCACTCCTTATTCTTCCCTGGAGAATCCCCATGGACAGAAGAGCCTGGTGGGCTACAGTCCGCTGGGTGGCGAAGAGTCAGACAGGACTTAGCCAGTAAACAACAACAGGAAAGAGAGCGTGGATTTGAGAGTGCCCTCTTCTCTTTGTGCAGGGCCCTTCGATGAACCCGTGTGGTGTAACATTCCCTGCATTATGTAGCTCACAACTTTTCCAGAAAACTTTCATAAACATCGTCTGATCTTCTGGGCTTAAAGAGCATCAGACATCTGCTGTTGATGGTTGTGCTTTTTAACCAAGTGCAGTGAGGCAGGCAGCTCCTTCCTTCCACTCATTATTCCCCTTCCCCCTCATTTTACCCACCTTCCTCTCAGCGCTCAGGTTCCCTCTTCCTCCCCTCTGGGGGGTGAGGGCTGAGGTGGGGAGGGGAATCCTGGGCAGCGTGGGGCGGGTTACCTGCGCTCCCAAAGAAAGCGCTGCTCCGACGCAGGGGGAGCCTCTCGCCTTTCTCTGCTTGCTGCCTCTCCCTCTGCAGGCTCTGTGGCTCCCGAGGGCCCCTGTCACTCACTCCTCCACGGGGATAAGCAATCAGTACGTGGCATGCTGTCGTCGTCCCTCTTTCACTCTGAGGACAGTGAATCATTTTCTCCTTCAGCCTCAAAATGTATGAGGCTGTTGAGGTCTCTGAGTTCATGCCAAGCCACCCAGAACTAATTGACTGGTGTCATCCAGTGATCACCCAGAGGGACAAACTTATCAGGTTCTGTAGTGGGTCCTCAAGCTGCAAGTGGCCTGATTAGTTAGCAGAGAACATGCCTATCTGGTGGTTAAACCGGGGCATTATTTTAGTCTGTTAATTTCTTCATGCAATGATCTTCCTTTATTTCTTCTACGTACCATGGTATTAATTCACAAAATATCTAGTTTGCCCTATAAAACTGGAAAACCCATGGATGGTATGTTTTCTTCTTGAAAAATGTGGTTTTCATTCGCTGGCAATTTAGGCTGGAATTGAGTGTGAATCTATAAATAGATGGCATTTTCTCGAAGAAGTCTATTTCTGTGTTGCACTGGCTAAACCTTGGTGACTGTACAGAGGGGTTACCCCTGCAAAAGATGCGGTGACAAAACAGAACCCAAGGAGGTTCTCAGAAGTGGAGCTCACAGCCTTGTGTTGGGAAGAAGACAGTGCAAAGAGTACAGAAGACTAAGAAAAAGTTGATTATGAAATTAAGTGTAATGAGACACATTTTTATAAAAAATAGTCCAAAACTTGTGTGTTAAAGGAAGTTCAGTTCACTTCAGTTGTCTAGGGAAAATTGAGAGTTACATGGTTGTTCCAATCATGCAGTTTTGCTGGTCACATTCTTGTGAACATATTTCATTGCAGATGTCAATCCTTTGATTTTAGAAAATGTTCCAGATAATTTGGTATCAAGTCCTGTGAATAAAACTTTACCTGAAATTTAAATAAATGCATTTAGGCAAAAAAAGTCTGCCCTCCTAGAGTTAGCATTTATTTATTGTTGAGGATAGATGTAAACAACACATATGCTGAACATGTAATTGCTAAAATCCTGCAAGTAGTCTTTATATGCCATGGAATTAAAGCCCAAGATACATAAAAGAAAAATATTATATCCAATTCCATCTTCCTGCCTAAGGGGAGAACCAGATTGTGTTTCATTCTATACCCAAGACTGAGGAAGCAACAGTGTTTCCAACCTAAAACCAAATTAATAGCCTATGGCTTCTGAGACAAATTATCACCAAAGGGCATGAGATATCCCAGACCAGGGGCACTCTTGGGCTTTAAGTTATATAAAGTTACATCTATGCAAATATGTGGTCATTTGTGAAAAAGAAGCATCCATAAACTCTTTTCCCAGGGGCACTTAGTCCTGCAAACAATTGTTAGCAGGTAATGAATGATATGGGAACACGTTAATTAAGGCTAAAGAAATCAGGAGTGCAAAAAAGCTATTTTAAATAGGGTAGTTAAGGTCAGTCATATTGAGAAGGCAATATTTAAGCAAGAACTTGAAAAAAAAAATGAGAGAGCTGTGTGGCATATATGTACCACTCCCGGCAGAGGTAATGCAGACCCTGCGGGGGGAACGTGTTTGGCGTGTTCACAGGACAGCAGCAGCAGAGAGACCTAGGTGACTGGAGCAGAGCCAGCAGGAGTGGGAGTGGGCGCTGTGCTCAGAGAGGTACCAGAGGAATATCATGTGGGGCCCTAGAGGCCAACGTAAGGATTTGGCTTTTACTCTGAGAAAAGCGGATGCCACGTGTAAGTCTTGGAGCAGAGTAGCAGCATAGTGTGACCTGAGGGTTTTTTTAATTTATTGAAGTGTAGTTGATTTACATTGTTGTGTTAATTTCTGCTATACAGCAAAATGATCAGCTATACATATCTGTGTACATATTTGCACACACATTCTTTCTCATGCTCTTTTCCATTATGACTTATTACAGGACATTGAATATAGCTCCCTGTGCTCTTCAGTAGGACCCTGCTGTTCATCCATCTTATATGTAATAGCTGGCACCTGCTAATCCCAAACTCCCAATCCGTCCCTCACCTCTTCCTCCTCTTTAGCAAGCATGTGGCTTGTGTTTCTAGATGATGACTCTGAGTATAGTGTTGTGGATAGACTGAAGTGGGCATAAGTGGACGTGGAGAAACAAGGCAGGAGTTCTTCTGGCTATTAGGATACTTATGAAAGTGGTGAAGAGTGATTGAACTCTAGATGTATTTTGAATGTAGAGCCGACAGGATTTCCTGACACCACTCCCTATGATCATTCAGAAGACTGGCCTTTACTAATTTTAGATCAATATGTACCTTTTTAGCACATGAAGAATTAACTGATCTTGCAGACATTGTTGGCATGGTCATCTTCCTTCTGTGCATGCGTGCTGCAAGGCAGGTGACCATTCCCCGGTTATCCGGAGATCCCTATAGCACTGTGGACAGTTACCTTTGCACTTGGTTATTGCCTTACACCGTGTGTTAGACTGGATAATTCTGACAGTTTGTGGACATCACTCTTTTGCATTTGAAAATATAATATTCAAACATGGTAACTATTAAATTTATATTCAGTTAACTGTGAAACATGTTGTAACAGTTTTTAAATTTGGTTATATATATATATATTCTATAGCAGCCAAGCTAAGGAAAAAATGAAGAAAGTAAATTTGATTGGACCATTAACATTGGCACGCTGTGAAATATTAAGTTTGAATCAGTTCTGCCTTCATTTAAGTTTGATGTCTTCGATCTGTAGTGAGAAGTAAGTACTTTAAGATTGTCTGCAGGCAGTGATAGATGTCCTGGATTGGCTCATTGTATTTAATGGCCCACATTCTCAAGGTGGATGATAAAACAGGTAGGGATAGGCTGGCTGGGAGAGCAGAGCGAACTGGTGTACAGGGAAACTGAAGTTAGGACTGGTGTTTGAAGCACCATACAAATCAATTAATTTCATAAAAATACATCTCTGCACTTGTTTCACACACACACAAATTTACCTTAAAATAAACTTGCATATAAAGGAGATTGTTAACTACAGAAAATTATAAATGCTTAAGAAATCTATGTTCACATTGGCCTCCAGGAAAATTGATTAAATATGAAGTTACTATTACAGATTCAGATATGTTTATGATAATTCTCAGTGGTTTTCCACTGGTCCAGGGCAAGCCAACATACTTTTAGAAGAAGTCAAATCTGTTTTTCATTTGTAATAATTCTTAGGGGACCCAAGAAAATGTTTGCCCACTTTTGGTGAATATGAGATGTTTCAAACTATGACAGCTGTTATTTGATAGCAAAGAAGCTGGTAAACAAAAAAAAAGCATGTCATCTGAAATCTCCAACTTATTAAGTTTCATTCTCTTCTCCCTTATGCTTGTGACTTCTGTTTAAAAATCTCTGTAAGGGTAACATTTTTCTTAGTTCAGTACTTTAGAAAATAAATTGTTTATAAAACTAAATCTGGTTTTAATGCAAAGGTTTTAAATCTGCATCTTACAGAAAACAAATGTCACAAACCTTAAAGTAGAAACAGAAATTTTCATTTGAATTTGGAAGTTTAACCTTAAATATAAACGTGATCTTTTTCACTGTCTTAATAGATTTTTTTGCTGCTGTTCTGAGTGAGGTTCAGATACAACTGCATTTTAATAGGAGTTAGAAAGGCATTTGGGCTTCTCTGGTGGCTCAGATGGTGAAGAATCTACCTGCAAAGCGATCTGGGTTCGATCCCTGCGTTGGGAAGATCCCCTGGAGTAGGGCATGGAGTAACCCACTCCAGTGTTCTTGCTAGAGGGAGTGGGGTGGGGAAATGGGCAGAGATAAGGGTTAAAAAGATGAGAGAGATGTGGGGGACAGAGGGGAAAATTAAGAGATGGGAGATGTAATCGGGAGGGCAGAGGACGAAAGAACAAAGAGAGGCGTAGTTTCAGTCAATCAGAAATGGGGAGAAAAAGTGGGAATTTGGAGAGAACTAAAAAAGGTGGTGAAGGACAAAGGGTTTTGGAGTATTATGACACTGATCGGCTGGTTAGTTCTTGGGTGTTGTGCACTTTACTGGTATACCCACTTACCTCTATAAGTGATAAGTGAAAGCTGCTCAGTCGTGTCTGACTCTTTGCGACACCATGGACTATTCAGTCCATGGAATTCTCCAGGCCAGAATACTGGAGTGGGTAGTCTTACTCTTCTCCAGGGGATCTTCCCTACCCAGGGATCGAACCGAGGTCTCCCACATTGCAGGCAGATTCTTTACCAGCTGGGCCAGCAGGGAAGCCCTCTACCGACGGTGCTAAATCCGAGATAGTTGGTGTGGCCACCAGGCCTCTTAGACCTCGCTCTAATATCGTCCTCCGTGCTCTGTATTGTGTGCTTAGAAATTTCACCACATGGGGTTCCCCGAGGACTCACGTAGTTGCCAGTCACCCTGCTGTTCTAAGCCCCCACGTCCCCCACTTTCTCTGCACTCCCCAGTTCTTCAGCTAATTCCCCCTTGTCCTTCAAGATTCTACAATGAGGATCATCTCCATAAGCAAGACTTCCCTAGAGCACACACCCAGGCACTCCTTAAGTTTCTTGCCCTTCACTATTGATCTGTCTTCCAAAAGCTAACTTAAGCCTGTTAAAGGGGCCTTATCCGCAAAACCCAGAATATCTCTTCCTCCTCTGCCCTTTATAATTCTCCCTCTGAAATATTCTGAATGTCTTTTTAAAGGATGTATTATGTGTGTGTATGTAAATGACATCAACCCCTAGCTATTTCTAATTCACTACCTCAGGAGCTCTGGAAGATCAAACAGTATTTCTTAATGAAACCAAATCTTAGTCCCTTCTGATTATATTGCAATCACTTATCCAAATAAGACACTGATTAAGTGAAATTAGAATTTTTTCCACACAGATACAAAATAAATAGAATCTCGAAATTACTCTGTCAATGATTTGAATTGAAATTCTCTTTCTTCCCTTACATATTTATTTGGAATGGTTACAAAAGTACTGACCTTAAAGAGGAATCCAAAGAACATACATTGTGAAAAAAGAGAAATTCTGTCATACAAGCTAAGTATTCTTATCTTTTCTTTCTTTCTTTCTTTTGTTTCGATACTCTGATTGGCAGGATAAATTATTTATGTCTTTTGGCACTATCATGGCCATAACTCATGGATCAGGTCTGCCCCTCATGATGATAGTATTTGGAGAAATGACTGACAGATTTGTTAATACTGGAGGAAATTTCTCCCTTCCAGGTAAGCATTTCTTTAATTAAGATATGTAGACGTATAGATGTATTCATTTATTTAACTGAGTGAAAGATTAGAAATTGACTTTTCTATTCATCATCTACTTGCTTCATCGTTTGGACATTTGGGTAGCTTCAGATATCACAGAAGGAGTTTTAAAATTCTCAATAAAATGCCTCAAATAATCAGTTAAATTTCAACAAATAAGTGTATGCTATTGGACTTTAAGTATAGAATAGGGAAATTTCCAGAAAGCTTGTATTTCAATCAAGTAAGGAAGTCAGTCTGCTTGAGGATGGTGGAACCATAGCAGAGCGTGTCTACACAGTGTCCATTCAATTAATGGCTATTGATGAGCTTCAAACTGCATCAGTCAGCATGGCAATACTTAGCTGTCCTCAGCTTGCAGGTCTGTTTCTGATTTTTTTTTAATTCCCCTCCCCCTCCCCCTTTCTCCCATCCTTCTTTCTAAAATTACACCTACTTTCTATCTCTAATATTTGGATCAACAAGGTTGACTGTTCCTTAACAGAACACTTTACTAAAGAGTGAATGGATTCAGTGTGAGAATGATGTGCTTTGAAACTCACCCAAAGGACTAAAATTACTGAAGTGTAAAAGGAGTCACCTAAGTTAATGCCATCTATGTGAGGGGCTATGTCAGCAGCATTGGAGTGAGGTTCCGATGGACAAAGTTAGTTTCATATTAGACAGAAAGGAAGATATCCGTGCTTTCTCCCGAGCATGATGGCTCAGTCCCTCCCTGGAGACCTGTGGGCACTGGGTGAAGAACCCCGAGGGAAGCTCTCAGGGCACACAGATGCGGGAATATAAAGGAAACAGCCAATAAAGGAGAGGCAGCTTTCATAGTAAAGACACCCGAGAAACAGTAGACTATTTAGATGACACTCAGAGTTTTCAGTGTTCACTGTTGAGAACTACATGTTTGGTTAGCATTGTAGGGCTTAGATGTAATTACCTAAGAACATGATTACTTAATTTATACAATAGGATCTCTTTACATAAATATTGATGAATATTAATCCCTTTTAGATGTCTAGTAGAAGCATCCTTTGAATAGTTAAAGCACACTCCTACAAAAGCAGTTTATTTATTCTCTAGTACTACTGTGTCTGAGAACCTCTTTGTAACAAAAATAATAGAAATCTTTCATAGTGTGGATCATGTGCCAGGTCTTCTTATCAGTGACACATGAAGACAGCTGAGGCTTGGAGAGAAGAAATAACCTCCCAAAGTACACAGTGTTAGGGAGGAATTCAGACTCAGGTTTTTCCACCATCCATACCATGCTCATGGCTGTATACATGATACTGCCAATGCAAGTAACTGTACATTCTCCTTTAGAAATTGTGTCTGGGAAAGTTTTAACTGGATTACTTGTTTTTGACCAGTGGCCAAAACTTTAACACAAATACTGTAAAGAGTAAAATAGGATAGCTTAAAAAGTCTTTAAGGAAATTAGGAATTTTTAATTCATTTTCCTTTTACTTCTTATAAAAGGATTTATAGATGTATAATACACACACACAGAACATGAGGAGGCCCATATTAGAATATATCAATCAAAACTGGTTTCAATTTAGGATTTTAAAAAATCAGATGAATGACTGGATAAACAAAAGTTTTTACATACATACAGTGGAGTGTTAAAAAGCCTTAAAAAGGAAGGAAGTTTTGACACCTGCTGCAGCATGGATGAATCTTGAGGACATTATGCTAAGTGAAAGAAGACAAATATCGTATTATTCTGCTTATAGGAAGTGTCTAGAGTAGCCAAATTCATAGAAACAGAAAAGAAGCTGGGGGTGGAGGACAAGGAAATGGGGAGTTGTGTAATGGGCATAGTTTCAGTTGGGGAAGCTGAAAAAGCTCTGGAGATTGATTTGACCATAGTGTAAATATATTTAGCACTACTTAACTATGCACTTAAAATGGTTAAGATGGTAATGTATATTTTATCACAGTTAATTTTTTAAAAATTGGATGTAATGTACTTATCCCAGGGAAGCTGACCTTTGGTCCAGTTGTATTAGTCCCGTTTTTGTTTTTGCTAACACCAGAGTAATTCCACAGCTTTCTTATTTGGAGCAGTCTGCTTATTTTTAACGTGTTTCTAATTATGCAACCGAATTGCTTTGAAGCTGGAATGGCAGGCAGGTGCCACGTACTGTACCCAGGGCCAAATTCAAGGTCTTTCTGGGGAATGGCACTCGCCAGCCGCCGGCAGACCTGTGACTGCGGGAGCGATACACTCACCAGAGTGCCAGCGCAGTTTCAGTGACCTCCGAATTAAATGACACTTGGCTCTCCACAGCCACGTTTGTCATCAGGCAGCTTGATTGTCCTGGAGGGTTTGGAATGAGAAGTCCCTCAGATGTTATTAATGCCAGTGTCCACTCTCTAGGTTTGTACAAATAATATTCCCATGGCTCTTTGGAGAAAATGAATTGCTACATTTCATGCTCGCTCTGAATCCAGAGAGCTCATTGATATGTTTAGGTTTGTAGAGTTTAGCCAAGGTCATGGGGGTTGAGAGACGATGGAGTCCTCAGGTGTCCTTAGCTGAGCTTGCTAGGTCGTCTCACCGAGACGATGTTGGTTTATAGTCTATTCTTTAGAACTGGATTTTTGGACAGCAAGACTCAATGGGAGCCAAATGAGATGAGAATGTTAGAAGAAAAAAAGAAAAGGTTTAAATTACAAGAGGGTCTGACAATGAGCTATTGTGAACAGAGTCCATCCTTGTCAGCAGAGTGAAGTCTCCGTGACAAGGTTGTTCCCTCACAATGACTGAGTTGTGCAGAAACTACGTGTAAAACATTCCACATCCAAACCTTAAGAATGGAGTCACAGGAGACAGGGTTTCTACAGAGTATTAGGAACTGGATATTTTATGCCAAGTCTGTGTGTCTGTAATGTAGGAGGTTGTGTGGAGAAATTGATACACCCTGTGTGCCTTTGCATTGCCACATAGATGAAAGGCAAAGACATATTTGAGCCCCAGTTACCTTGATTTATTACCCATACTGCTAAAACTGCCTGGACATCCACCAATTCTGTCTTGTGCTGAGTGTTTCTATGTAATATTAATAAGAGAGGTCCTGGACTGAATCAAGGGAGGCAGACATCGGTTTACTTTGAGACTCAAAGTGAGTCAGCACTCCTTATTTAATGTCTCTCTGAGTGCTCTTTACGGTATACATTTATTATTTAGGCCTCTACCTGAATTTGGGGCAAATTACTTAACCTCTGTAATCCCTACTGTTATCACCTTTGAAAGGTAGGCTTGCTGATAGACTTAAATGAGATGACTTATGTCAAGTGTCTGGAGCATAAATATTGAGAGGAAACTGGCTGTAAGAACTTGGAAATGCAACAACCACTCTTAGATTCTGTTTCCTCATCTGTAAAATGTATGGAGTACATGGGAGCTCTCTAAAATGAAAAGGCAGCCTTAGAATTTCCCATTTCTTTGCTATGGGAGGCATTTAGGCAGAATAGAGAAGGAGTTCTCCATCCTGGTACATTAAAGTCAATTGGAAGAAATTTTTAGATTATGATCTAGACTCAGCTAGAGTTCTGATTCAGCTGGTCTTGGATGGAGCCTCAGTTCAGTTGCTCAGTCATATCTGACTCTTTGAGACCCCATGGACTGCAGCACACCAGGCCTCCCTGTCCATCACCAACTCCTGGAGTTTACTCAAACTCACGTCCATCAAGTCGGTGATGCCATCCAGCCATCTCATCTTCTGTCGTCCCCATTGGACATCTGTATTTTTTTCCATCTACCCTACTTGATTCTAACAGGCAGACAGTGCTGCAAACCACTCAACCAGATAACTGCTTGAAGATTGTTTATGAAGCTGAAGCCTAATATATAGCATCTGGGAAGACCAGGTAGCGGCCTTCTCCAGATCAAATCCTGTGAGATTTCCAGATCTAGCATTCTAGATTTCATCTCATGACTCTTCAAGGAACACATTCATACACATTTGTAACACCTTGGTCCTCTGGCAGCAGAAACTTGGTTTCCTAGGGGCTTTAGGGCTTCTAGGGTTACTCACCCAGAATTAGATTGCCATTCTTGGCCTGGGGCTCTGAGACAGGAGCAGGTCAAGTTTGTAATGTTTGTAGATTCTTACTTGCTAGGAGGGAAGCTCAATTTGAGTTATAATATTGGTGTTGGAGGAGAGAAAAAGTCATTTTAGGATTTCACCTGCTTTCTAAGTTCAGGGGTAAATAGCCCTGAAAATAGTATGCATAATCTGCAGGTTTCAAACAATGATTTCTGCACATACTTCGGCTTTCACATAGCTTGTCTGCCTCTCGTTCCAAACACAGTTCCAACGTAGGTATCAAAGGTGCCAGATTTATGAACTCAGGAAGCAAATGAGCACACAGAAGTGAATGGATGAAAACAAGTAAAATAGAGTCTGCTTTCTCAAGGACCCTAGTAGCTGATAAAGAGCTAGGTTAATTAGCAGAAACACTTTGCTATGAACATCTATAGAAAGAACAATCCTGGGAGAGAAATTATGCCACCATCAGGGCTACAGGCCTGGTAATTGATCCTGGTGGTAGGTTAAGTTTAAAATAAATTTCTACCTCATCTCCCTTTGGAAGAAGATAAGAGTGATAATACAGCACCCAGAAAATGTGACCTCAGGGCTATTTACACATGATAAAGGAACAAAGCCTAGTTTCTCCCCTAGCATCATGGTAAATGTGTTTTCCCAACAGTGCTGGGGTAACATTTTATCCTGTTACTCTGTGAATGCAGTAGGTATGGGCTGTTTTCTTTTTATTTTTTACTTTGTGTTTGTTAAAGAAGTGAAAATAAGTCATTACCACATGAATCAATCGGTGTGGTGTAGTGTCCGGTGCTGTATGAGATAGTGTTAGGACTCTCAGCCTGCTTACTATAATAACTGAGTGACTGGGTAAGTTACTTTATATCCCTGTGTTTCAGTTTCCTCATCTGTAAAATAGGAATTTATGATAGAACCCTACCTGTATAGTCCTATCTATAGAATTGTGAAAATTAAACCATGTAATGCATGTGTAGTATTCAGAACAATGCCCAGCATATAATAAATGCTCACTGGATCCTAGCTGTTACTAAAACATGTGAACCAGAAAAGGCACATTGACATTTTTATCAAAATTAGTTCAGAGTAAAAGACCATTTCCTTCCAGTTAATACTGCTTTAAAAACACCAATGTACAGGACTGCTAACAACCAAGACAAGGAATGCAGGACCGTGACGGATCACCAGGGATCCACTCACTTGTCTTTGAGCAGCCCAATGATCTTTCTTGTCTTTAATTTTTCTCCCTTTGCCATGAATGTAATTCAGACTTTCCATTATTTATGTTGTGAGGAAGCATGTAAGGGAAACACACACATATAGTAAAGCAGAATCAAAAGGAGCAAGTATCTGTAAAGTGCTTTGCACCACTAAGAAAAAAGTGCCTGTTAAGTCCTGTGTTTCTATGTGGACCATCTCTTTTTTCTTCCTCTGCCTTCTGTATGCCCTTCATCAGCTCCTCTCTGCTGCTCTAGGAAGCTGTGTTGCTAAAGGCCCAAGGCCTCTGGTAGGGGGGCAGTACCTGCTGGGGGGGGGGGGACTTTACTTCCCCAACTGGAGCCCCGATGCACCTAAACTCGAGGGCCCTTTACATGGGCCAGATGGAAAGAATGACTTGAGAGTGACAGGGGAAGAGAAAAAAGATTTTAAAAACCTAGCAGTGCCTTTCAAAAATGTCTTATTTTTATTTTGTTTTTATTTAGTGAATTTTTCACTGGCAATGCTAAATCCAGGCAGAATTCTGGAAGAAGAAATGACTAGGTAATTGGCTAATATTTGTATATATCATATGTACTTCTTTATATTGTACTTTTAAAAACCATTTCATTTGAAAATAATTTCAACCTTATGAAGAGGTATAAGCATGTACAAGGAATCGCTGTATACTTTTTAGCTTTTGTTAGACTCTTTATCCTATTGTTTCCATTTATACCCCTCCCCTGTCATTTAAAGTAAGTTACACAGGAGACTTCCCTGGTGGTCCAGTGGTTAAGACTCTGTCCTCCCAATGCAGGAGGGCTGGGCTTGACCCCTGGTCAAGGAAATAGATCCCATGTGCTATTACGAAGACCCAGGGCAGCCAAATGAATAAAATTTTTTTTTTTTTGAAGTAAGTTGCCCAGAGCATGGTCCTTTACTCATAAATACTTCAGATTGGTTCCCAGAACAGGGCATTCTCTTCATAACCACAGTACAGCTATCAACCTCAGTACATTTAATATTGATACAATACTTAGACCTGGTCTACCATCTGAATTCCAGTTTTGTCTGTTGATCTACTAATGTCATTTAGGCATTTTTTTTTCCCTTTCTTCTGCCTTTTTTTTTTTCTTTTTTCTTTTTTTTTTCCCTTCTTCAGCCTTCTTAATAGAAATTCCCAAAGCCTGTCACATAATGTTTGTATGTTGACTTTTCAATTAATGTTGCTGACTTAAATGAGCACTGTCTGTAGCCGTAGCGGCCTGAAAGGAAAATATATTTGAGAGTAATGAAATTGAATTTATTTCTAAAGATACTAACTTCCCTCTAATTTAGTTAAGACTACACTCTGAGTTGATTTGAATTCATAACATTTTAGCATTGGTTTTAAAAAATCTTTCAACTTCTGCCAATCAGGAAGAGGGTTTTTTGTTCTTTGTGTAAAAAATATGGGAAAAGCTTACACTAAGAGCCATTTTGCATGTTCAGCCTATTTATTCCTGTATTTGCAATGTGGTGAAGCTTTTCAGAGCAGTAAGATATGCAAATCTAGAATGTGAATTATGGAAGAGTCAAATTGTGTCTACAAATTATCAATATAAGTTTAAAAATGATTCATGAACACCACTGTATGTTTGCAGTTAACCACACAACTTTATTTTACCTTTGGCTAATAATTCAAGTTGTGCAGCGAGGGTCCAGTTGGGGAAGTAAGGCCCCTCCCCACCAGGTACAATACTTTGAACTGGCCTACCATCTGAATTCCAGTTTTGTCTGTTGGTCTAATAATGTCATTTATGGCATTTTTTCCCCTGTTGCCGTGGAGGCCTGAAAGGAAAATAAAGTTGAGAGTAATGAAACTGAATTTATTATTTCTAAATATACTAACTTCCCTCTAATTTAGTTAAGACTACACTCTGAGTTGATTTGAATTCATAACATTTTAGCATTGTTTTAGCATCTTTCAACTTCTGCCAATCAGGTAGAGGGTTTTTTGTTCTTTGTGTAAACAATATGGGAAAAGCTTACACTAAGAGCCATTTTGCATGTTCAGCCTATTTATTCCTGTATTTGCAATGTGGTGAAGCTTTTCAGAATGTAAGATACGCAACTCTAGAATGTGAATTATGGAAGAGTAAAATTGTGTCTACAGATTACCAATATAAGTAAAAATGATTCATGAACAATATTGTATGTTTGCAGTTAACCACACAACTTTATTTTACCTTTGACTAATAATTCAAGTGGATAGATTGGCCACTGTTCTATTATAATATAAGAAAAGAGAAAAAACATGTGTATGTGTTATAATGTCCTACATGGTATTTGAGATCTGTCAGTAAATTTATTAATTTCCAATTCTGAATATTTCTCTCCCAAACATAAAGACTCTATTTAAAAGAAACTTTTGAATTGTTTTCCAGATATGCATATTATTATTCTGGATTAGGTGCTGGAGTTCTTGTTGCTGCCTAAATACAGGTTTCATTTTGGACTTTGGCAGCTGGCCGACAGATTAAGAAAATTAGGCAAGAGTTTTTTCATGCTATTCTACGACAGGAAATACGCTGGTTTGACACCAGTGACATCACTGAACTCAATACATGGCTAACAGAGTAAGTATATTGTTACCTACTACATGTCCATAAAGAAAGTAACTACTAGCTATAGATGATGCTGTGAAAGTGCTGCACTCAATATTCCAACACATTTGGAAAACTCAGCAGTGGCCACAAGACTGGAAAAGGTCAGTTTTCATTCCAATCCCAAATAAAGGTAATGCCAAAGAATGCTCAAACTACCACACAATTGCACTCATCTCACATGCTAGTAAAGTAATGCTCAAAATTCTCCAAGCCAGGCTTCANACAGTAAAGAATCTGCCTGCAGATGCAGGAGACCTGGGTTCAATCCCTGGGTTGGGAAGATCCCCTGGAGAAGGAGATGGCAACCCACTCTAGTATTCTTGCCTGGAGAATTCCATGGACAGAGGAGCCTAGCAGGATACAGTCCATGGGGTCACAAAGAGTCGGATGCGACTAACACATACACTCACATCCTTTACTTATTTCTCTCTCATGGAGCTTATCACAGGCCTGACAGATATTAAGATGGCACTCCGGTAAGATGGATGAATGAGTGAATCAGGGATTGAATGAATTCATAAAGAGACTTCTCTTAGTTCTTGTTGACTCTTCACTTATTCAACAAACAATTGAGGGCTTGTTAAACACTGTTCTAGATGTTTGTGGTTTAACAGTGAATGAGGCAAAAATCTCTGGCCTCTTGTTGCTTATGTTCCAGCAGGGGGTGGTAGATGGTTAGTGTTTTCTGGCTGGAGATTCTGCCCAGAGGGTAGTGAGCAAATGTCCAGGAGGAAGGAGGATCAGGGCATTTAGGGCCTGGCTGGCCTCCATAGGGACCTCAGGTCTGCCACTGGACATTTTTGACCTGAGGAGTAGCATGTTCAGACTTCCATTTCCAAAGGATCACTGGCTGCTGTACTGAGAACAGAGTGGGTTAACAGAAGCACCATGGGTAGAAGGAAGGAGCACTTCCTTATTCCTACTTTCAAACAAAATTGAGACATATGTTCAAAATGCTAATCCTTCTCTAATAGGATTAACTAACTGAGCAGCATCAACTTTTAATGATACTGACTTCCCAGAAGCGTGAACTAATCCTGAATTTCTTCCTTTGTTCAGTTTTTAGGTGGGGAAAGTGTCATTCAAGAGGCTAAGACTGTGAGAGGGGCTTGCAGGCATCTGAATGAGCTTTGCCTGTGTCTGTGTTGGTTAGATGTTTGCTTCGCCTTTCTGACTGAAGACCTGTAACCACTTAGGTGTGATCTTTTTTAGTGACATCTCCAAAATCAGTGAAGGAATTGGTGACAAGGTTGGAATGTTCTTTCAAGCAATAGCCACGTTTTTTGCAGGATTCATAGTGGGGTTTATCAGAGGATGGAAGCTCACTCTTGTGATAATGGCCATCAGCCCTATCCTGGGATTCTCTACAGCTGTTTGGGCAAAGGTATGTGAAACATGGGCATGACCATGTCTGTTAACTGACACAGACAGAGTTATCTTCAAGATGCAGGATTCTGGTTATGTGTTGTACAGATCTATGTTAAATGTCACTCAAAGTGCACGCAGAAGCATGTTGTTAATATGGTGCTCTAATAGGGAAGAGTATTTTTAATGTGATTCAAAATGTCAGATACGGGACTTCCCTAGTGGTCCAGTAGTTGAGACTCCGAGTTTCTAATGCAAGGGATGTGGGTGTAACCCCTGGCTGGGGAACTAAGATCCCACATGCTGCATAGCCAAAAAACCAAAACATCAAAGTTATTACCTCAATTACAGTTTTTGCACTCTTATTTTTTTTTACTTGTTTTAAAATCAATAAAATATTATTGATTATTTTTGTTTTTTTAACGATTATTTATTTGGCTGTGTCAGGTCTTAGTTGTGGCACATGGGATTTTGTTGTGCTGCATGGGTTTCTCCAGTTGTGGTGCACGGACTTTTTATAGTTGTGGAGAGTAGGCTCAGTTGCTCAGTGGTATGTGAGATCTTAGTTCCCTGATGAGGGGTTGAACTCGTGTTCCCTGCATGGGAAGGCAGATTCTTAACCTCTGGACCATCAGGGAAGTCCCTGCACTGTTGTTATTACCTTGGGTAAATCTCCTGGCATAGTAATTTAAAATACATAAATCGTTATGTCCCTATTTAAAGAAACATAATTTAAAAGTTACATCACTCAGTTAGACACTCAGTCATGTCTGATTCTTTGCGACCCCATGGACTGCAGCCTGCCAGGCTCCTCTGTCCTTGGGATTTTCCAGGCAAGAATACTGGAGTGAGTTGCCATTCCCTTCTCCAGGGGATTTTCCTGATCCAGGAATCGAGCCTGGGTCTCTTGCTTTGCAGACAGATTCTTTACCCCCTGAGCCACCAGAGAAACCCAATTTAAAAATATAACATAACTTCAACTTATTGCATGACTATAAAACATTTAACTAAGTTTGGATTTGCCGTTTAATTGTGATGGTTACATGGCACTCTGCCAATTTTGCCTTGCAGTAAAATCCACATAACCTATTGCATTTCAGCCAACACTCCAGGGTTGAGAAATTTTACCGGCAATTTTTGCTCATTTTGGGGTTGATGATTTACTTAATAGACAACTGGCGTCTCTTGTGTTTCGATTCTTCCTTTAGCTTTCTCCTGCAGCATCTTGTTTAGCCATCTTATAATTCAGTAGACTATCCATGAGTAGGTCTGGAAATGTGGTTTTCAAAGTGATTAAAAATCATTACACAATAATCGTAAGGATGATGAATCCTTTCCGAGCAGTAAGATTTTAGTTTAGTTTAGTTTGTAATCAATAGAGAAAAAAACAGTAGTAGATGTGGAACTCAACACTATTACCAAAAACACTATCTAGTGAATTATATGTGCCTTTCCTTTTCCTCACTCTGTTACTGAATCAAGTCTGGCTGCTTGAAAAAAAAATCATTACTTGCAAAAGCTGGTAGAATGGAAAGTTGCTTTTAATCAGGATGCTGGCAATCTGGGAGAGATGGTGGACTCAGTGTCCACCAAAAACCATCTCCAAAAATTCTGTCCACTCATGAAATATTTTAAAGGGGCAAAGGAAAGCATCTCAGTTAATCATCGTGACAGAGGGTCAGAGTTGACAGTACTGTGAGCAGGCCTGTCAACTTCTTGTGATTTTTCTTTAAATGCTATCTCTTTACACAGTTTATTCATGAGATTACTGAAGGGGAAACTAGGGAAGAGACCTGGCCATTTGTTAATGACTTATTCTTTATTTCTACATCTTTGATCCATGAAAAGAACCAACAAGTTAGGTGAAGTATTGTGTGATCAAAAGATTTGAAAGGGGGACTTCCCTGGTGGTCCAGTGGCTAAGACTCTGCCTTCCACAGGGGGTGTCAATTCGATCCCTGGTCGGGGAACTAAGGTCCTACATATGGCCAAAAATTAAAAAAAAAAAAAATTGTGCTAGGGCTGGAGACAAGCAGAACTTGGGGCTGCTTGGTTTAAGGTTAGTGGCATGACAGAGGGAGAGAGAGAAGTCAATAGAAAATAGTAGTAGATGTGGAGAGTTTTTTTTCTGCCCAGAGCTGCCTACAACTTCCCTGGGGAAGAGTTCCTCAAGGCAGATCACACCCAGCCGTTGCAGGGGAATGGAAGAAGCTGTGGGATGTGCTACACTGAGTGATGTTTGCTTCACATCCACAGCGTCTGGTAAAGGACAGGATTTGGGAAGAAAAAGTAAGTTGAAGAGTTGATCAGAGTGTCTTTTAACTTTTTCCCCTATTTGAAAGTCATCTGTTTCTCTTCTTTGCAGATACTCTCAGCGTTTAGTGACAAAGAACTTGCTGCATATGCAAAAGCAGGTGCTGTGGCGGAAGAAGCTCTGGGGGCCATCAGGACTGTGATCGCTTTTGGGGGCCAGAAGAGAGAGCTGGAGAGGTCAGGAAGGCCCTTTGTCCACTGGCTCAAAGAGCTCACTTCTATTACATCTGATTACTTATTCTTTTGTGGTATGAGGGCTACAGTCCATATGATTGCAAAGAGTCGGACACAACTGAAGACACTTTTAGCACGCAGGCATGCACACGTGTCTACTGCTTTCCTTTGCCTAATACAAACCCCTTACCCACAAAACATAGACACCCTTTATTGATGGCTGGAGTTTGTCAGACTTTACAGCAGGGTTCTGGCTTTTTTTGGCTACGCTGGTGGCTCAGATGGTAAAGAATCCACCTGCAATGTGGGAGACCTGGGTTTGATCCCAGGGTTGGGAAGATCCCCTGGAGGAGGGCATGGCAACCCACTGCAGTATTCTTGCCTGGAGAATCCCATGGATGGAGGAGCCTGGTGGGCTACAGTCTGTGGGATGGCAAAGAGTTGGACATGAGTGAGCGACTAACACTTTCACTTTCTGAACTTTTTATGTTCCATGGACTTCTTTGAAAGTCTGATGAAGCCTATGGACTCCTTCTTAGAATAATGATTTTAAATGCATAAAACAAAATATGTAGGCTTACAGGAAACCAATTATAGTGAGGCACAGCCATCAAAACCTTCTTTAAGATGTGATACAATAAATCCATGTCTCTATTTTTAACCTATTGAATATCAACAACTAACTATAGGTCTAATACCTACTGTAATTCAAAGTAGCTCTGTGGGTAAAATGTATTTCAAGATATCTGTAAAAAGTAGAACATGATATGAAAATGAAATGCGATTTCTATTGGCAGCACAGTCACAGTTACTGCTAACACTACAGAGGCTTGTTGCCTGCACTGATAATCAAAGGAAATGCTGAATTTTGGTTAGGGGCTAGCAAAATTAAAAGTGTAAAATTTTCCCTGGTCAAATTCCTTAACCAGAGATTCCAGGTCGACTACCTCTGCTCTAAGGGGAGTTGATGGACAAAAATGTATGGGCCAGAACATACTCCCCCTAATAAAGGCTACTCAACTCTCCAGCCAGTTTTCTTTAAATAATAACATACCCTAATATAACTGAAGTATGACTCCATGTAAAATATTCTCTTTTGCCATTCTGCAGAGCTCCTGATACCCCCGACTCTATGAAAGAGAAATTCTCAGAAAATTCTCTAGCCTTGAAAGCAAAGGTCCCCACTCCCCTCTTTTTCATTTTCTGTTTTTCTGTTCCTTAAGTCCTCTTGACAGCCAACCTGTGCCTGGTTCTCTAACCGTGTCCTTTTTCTCTCACTGCTGTTTCCTGCACACAATAGCCCACACACCTCAGGATGTGAGTGTAATCAGTGCCGCTCCATTAGCTGCAAAAGGTGAACCATCTAAGCAAAGGTAATTACAGGCATGTCCATCACTGTCCCTGGAACCCGTGTCACGGGGGCTGATGTCAACCTCCCTGCCCGCACCTTGCAGCCGGGCTCCCTGGGATTCAGCACAGCCCTGGGCGTGGGGTGCCAGCTGTCTCCCCAGGGACAAAGCTCTGCTAAGTCGGTGCACGGCCCAGCACTGAGGAAAGAACACTGGAGAGTCAGGTGCTTTCAGTAATTAAAAGATATGATTTTGGGTGGCAGGATCCATTTTTTAAAAAATGAATAAATTCTCAGCATCTTATTTGGTTAAACTAAAAAAGATATGATGTTGTTTGTTTTTGTTACAAACATTCTAATGGATGTGGTATTTTCCCTAAAGTGTCACTGTACATCCAGTGGATTTTTTCTTTTCTGACTTTAAGGAGCCAAAATTAAATTTTATACACTCTCTGCATCTATCATGGAATGACAGGCTTAACTGAAATTGATGGAAAAAACATTGTTATTTAACAGAACTGTTCTAGACATGTGTACCTTCATGTCAAATCCCAGAAGCCAGTAATAGTGGATTTTACTTAATATTTAAAATTATGGTAATAGTAGAATGAGTGGTATTTAGGAAGAGATTAAATTCTAAAACAATGGCAATAATAATAATAATAGGATTTATCAGATTGTCCCAACTGTGTGCCAGCACTGTTCTAACAACTTTCTGAGATTGTCTGTCCATCTCGCACCATCTGGCAAGGTGGGCATCAGTACCTCCACTTTGTAATGCCATTTGCAACCGTGTGCATGGACCGAGAGCCTATCATCCTACGTGAAGTAAACCAGACAAAGACAGCTATCCTATGACAATACGGAGCCTAAAAAATGATATAAATGAACTTATTTCAAAACAGAAACAGAATCATAGACATAGAAAACAGACCTATGGTTACCAAAGGGAAAAGGAGGGGAGGGGGAAATTAGGAGTTTAGGATTAACGTACACTCACTACTCTATATAAAATAGGTAAGCAACAAGGACCTACTTATAGCACAGGGAACTGTACTCAATATATTGTAATAATCTGTAAGGTAAAAGAATCTGAAAAATGTGTGTGTGTGTAGCTGCATCCCTTTGTACATCTGAAACTAACACAACACTGTAAATCAACTATACTTCAATTTTTTAAAAGTAATTCCATTTTACAAGTGATGAAACTAAAATCTAAAAAAGTTGAGTCAGAAACTATATCCCATAAGTAGTGACCTCTTTGTACCCTGTACCCTGACTTAATCAAAAACAGAACAAAACAGAAACCAAAGCGAAGCAAAAAAGCAAAGGTTGGAGTATAAGTACACAAACAGGTAGAATCCCATCCGTTCCCCAATGGGGTCAAGCTTCCCTGGTAGCTCAGATGGTAAAGAATCCGCCTGCAATGCAGGAGCCCCAGGTTCAATCCCTGGGTCAGGAAGCTCCCCTGGAGGAGGAAATGGCAACCCACTCCAGTGCTCTTGCCTGGAGAATCCCATGGACAGAGGAGCCTGGTGGGCTGCAGTCCGTGGGATTGCAAAGAGTCAGACACGACTGAGTGACTCACTTTCCCTTTCACCCAGAGGGACAGCTGAAAAAACAAAGTAGCCTGTCCTGAGAATGTAACTGCTCTAAGAGTCCCAAACAGTGTTTACAGTTTACATTTTGGTGTCACTCCTGGTGGGTGTGGTTTCTCTTCTTCCTCCCTAACCTTGACTTGTGATGCCGGCCATGAAGGTTGATGGTGAGGTTCTCCCAGGGTTGGGCATTCAGCCCTGGATCAGCTATGGGAACATTGGTGGGACTGGTGGGGACTGAGGGAGATGGGTCCAGGCCAGTAGAGAAAAGGCTCAGATGGGTTGTGGTCCAGGCTGACCCTGCACTGGTTCAATTCCCGGGTAGCTGGGTATCTCCACAGGTTTCTTGGTTGATGGTTTTTGTCCCTTAAACCTCTAGCTGTCCAGGAGGGGAATATAGCTAAGATTATGGATTCTTATTATCATATTTCCCCCTTCATTTCCGGGTAGGTATCAGAAACATCTAGAAAATGCCAAAAGGATTGGAATTAAAAAAGCTATTTCAGCGAGCATTTCTATGGGCACTGCCTTCCTGCTAATATATGCATCGTATGCACTGGCCTTCTGGTATGGATCCACTCTAGTTATAGCCAAAGAATACACTATTGGAAATGCAATTACAGTAAGTCATTTTATCTGAAAATATTGTTTATCTATCTACCTCTTCTTTCATTTTCCTCCTTTTTGAAGGATGAACCATGGTTCTAACCTTTTTACTTGTGGCAAATCTTTGCTCAGTCCTGTGGGTAGAACTGGCCTTCTAGAATACACAGAGCATAACATGTGGTTAGGCCAATTGAGAAACATATGGAGCGTATAAAGAAAGATGGAAAGAGTTTATGAATGAACAAATATCAATTGGCACCATCCTCATGGTGCCTGTGATTTTCATTATATAAGAAAGTAAACATTATTATACATAGATCATAGTATGAGAGAACATTAAATTTATATCATATTGGCTATCCAAATACAAGATGAAAAGTGATTTTAGTTTTTTTTTCTTTTATAAAATGAAAATAAGTTCATTTTATGATTAGAAAAATTATACATATTAGTTATACTAAAAATTAGAATACTTTTAAAAATGAGAAATTACTTACAATTAGAATTACTTATGATCTAAAAATCCATATACGCTTAATGATAACTTTTGGTGTATATCTTCCAGATTATTTTCTGTATATGGGTTTTTTTCTCTCAAAACTTAAATTGTATTATGCATATCTTTTTGTAAATTTTTTTATAAACTAACAAGATATTGTGACCTTCTTTCCGTGTCAGTTATGGTCAGGACAACATGTAACCATTCAACTAGCCGTGTTTTAAAACCTGCACTTCCCTGTCTTTCTAAACAGAGGACATGGAACACAGTTTGACCCCTTGATGATGACTTACAGGCATTATGAAAATGTATCATTTCAGAATGTTCTCTAGAGTGGTACCTTCAGACCCCCCTTGAAGTGTTGAGGGCTGTTTGGCTGGATGAGGTTTCATCACTGCCGAGTCTGTTTTTTTCTCATGTTGGTTGGTCCCCTCTCCTTGTCAGCTTGGAAGCACTCCACCTCTCTTTACTTCCTCATTTACTAAATTTTACAAAGCAGGGAGATTGAGCCCTGACTCTGGCATTCATCCTCTCTGGCCTGGTCTCCCCATTTGTTGGGTGTAGACAGTGACTTCTCCCAAATAGGAGGGCAGAGTGATCCCATGATGCAGGGAGCCCAGTGATGCCGTCTTCATAAAGACCAAGGACTCGAGTGTGTTAACTTTATGGCATTGCTTCTGGTAGGGACATTGTTTTGCTCTCTTGCTGGTCTTTCTCTGTATTGCAGATAGTAGATAGATATTTGAGTCCTGGTATGTTAAGTGTTATTGTTTTCTGTCATCTTCTGAGAAGAGCCAAACTATAAGTAGATGTTTCACCATGCCCAGAGAGAAAGGAGTCATTTCTCTTCATTTATGTTTTTCTCAGTTAATGTATGCTAATAACCTGGATTTCTGAAACTACAGTCTTGACTTTTCTGTATCAATTTGTTTTCCTAGTGAAAAAAAAAGGGAAATGTGTTAAGTTTGTGTGCTATAGTACAGACTAATTGTGTAAAGGAATTATTAACTAATGCACACAGATGTGATTTATAGTGCGTGAACTGTTACTTTTCAATGTTAAAAAATCTTATTAAAATGTATGTGTGTGTGTATATATATATAAATAACATGGCACTTTTTAAGGAAAGTTATATGGGGCCAAAATCTACCTTGTTTCATCTTGAACATTCTGTGTAATTCCATGCATAGTTAGAGAAAATAATTTAGTACTGAATAATGCTGACGGAAAATGTTTTCCTCTGGTGGCAGTGGCTTCAGAATCAAGGCAACAGGTTTGAAAAATCTTTCTGATTTAAGAACAACCAATAGTTTGACAAGATAGATGAAACAATATTTTTGAGGTTGAAGAAAGCCATTTGTGCAACAAAATTCTGTAGTGACCTAACCTTGATCCTTCGGGTAGCCTGTGTTCCGAACATTCTGTTTGAGGTGACAGTGGACACTGGGATGGGACAGGTAACTTTTCCTTGTGCTCTTTTGCTCAGGTCTTTTTCTCAATCCTGATCGGAGCCTTCAGCATTGGACAGGCGGCTCCCTGTATTGATGCTTTTGCCAGTGCAAGAGGAGCAGCATATGCGATCTTTGCTATTATTGATAATGTGAGTCATTTATTATTTTTAATGCTGAAAATTTGTTTGAGGCCTGGATAATTAAATCTGGCCTTATGTTAAATGTCCTGTAAAAATTAAGTGACATGAAAACCTCTGCTTATTAATGAATAAAACCAAATGCCTCTTTTGAATATTTGTGGAAGTTTGAAAAAATACGTCTTTTTCAAGGTTAATTATTTGCATTATATTCTGAGTCTGAGAACTCACAGGATCCCAAGATCAGTAATCAAAACCAGCTCTAAATGATGAGGAAACTTTTTCTGGTTAAGCCTAGACTTGACTGTTTGTAACATTCACACTGGTTCCAAATTAAAGAATCAATACAAAATAATAATAAATAATAGAAATGGGATTTCAAGTGAGGAATAAGTGAGGTTAGGAGTGCTTATTACTGTCCCTGCCTCAAGTTATGGTTTAATAAATTTAAGTTTTGAGTTAGCCAATTGGGGAATAAAAGGCAGAATGTGCTAAGAACTTTTATAAAGGAGAACGGATTTTTTTTTTAAAGAATTCTCTCTCCAATAAACTTTATTTTAAAGAAAAAATATTTCTGAATGCTTATCTTTAATCAAATAGCACTGATCTCATTTGGGAAAGTGCATCTGAACTAATGTGTTATTGCTAGAGGTCAAAGCAAAGATGTTTGTCTTCCTAGTTTTTCTCCTTTGCTCTTTGATTTTGTAGCCAGACTGAGGATATTATGCTTTGTAGACAGGATGAGTGGATGGAAAAATGATTGGTGGGACCAAAATTGATAGTATGTTTTGCTGTGGGTAGCCCTCTCTCTCTCTCAAAAAAAAAAAAAAAATGATCACTGTATATATGATATAATTTTGAATCAATTGTATTGCATAAGTTATCCTGACTGAAGTGAAATAAAGAAAATCATTTTGACACATTAAACGTGGTCTCTGCATTTATACAGAGAANGAGAAAACTGTTCAGCTTCTGCATATATTGAAAATTTACATCATTCCAAACTAACTTGTCCCTAACCAATTGTTCAACTTCTCAGTCCAGTCCATCATACTTATTGTTTAGGAGTAAGCTAATTTTCACTAAATACTGAAATACCTGGATATATCAATTATAGTATATTTTGTAGTTGCAGTTGTAGGAATGTACATTTAGAAAATTTATGAGGATATGCCAGAAACTTAAAGTGAAATATCATATGAAATGAAAAGAATATATCCCTTATGTACTTTTTAAGAAAGACCTATTTTCAGAGAAGGAATACTTCCTTAAACACATAAACACAAACATACATACACTCGCAAGCACACACACACACATATACAGTCTTCAACTTGGGTTCTGACTCACATGAAGGGAATTATGCTTTTTTGGGTCCTGATTTTGGAATTGCTGAAGCATATTCCTTAAAAATGCTATGATGGAATAGCCATTGAATTTTGTTTTGTTTAGGATCCTACAATTGACAGTTTTTCAGAGAGAGGACACAAACCAGACAACATCAAAGGGAATTTGGAGTTCAAAGATGTTCATTTCTCTTATCCTGCTCGGCCGGATGTCAAGGTATTATAAGTTATATTTATAGGGATTCCTAATTTAGATTGATTGTTTAATCATCTTCAGGAATCCACAGTCTCTGTTATTTTGATATGTATGTACCTTTTCTTTGGGGGTTATATTCCCTTATTTAATACTATTTTCCCAAATTTAAAATTGAGTCAGATAGCTTCTCTTTCAGGCTTTTGATGTGAAGTGTACTCTTTTTCTCTCTTTCCCTTAAAGATCTTGAAGGGCCTCAACCTGAGGGTAGAGAGCGGGCAGACGGTGGCCCTGGTTGGGAACAGCGGCTGTGGGAAGAGCACAGTAGTCCAGCTGGTACAGAGGCTCTATGACCCTGATGCGGGGAGGGTAAGTGGGAAGAGCCCCGCTCTTCAAAATGGGAAGCTGGGTATCAAATAGCCCTTAGAAAATTTTTTTTGGTAACATATTTGCATGTGAATCCAATTTTGGTTAAAAAAAAAAAAAAGCCTATGGAATTGCAATGCATCTGGATAAGACCTTCAAACCCTTGGGCTATTTTGAAAAACGTAGTCAAGATGATAAAACTCAAAGAAGCTAGACAATGCTCTCCTCTGTTCCAACTAAGCTTTTCATAATCCACTATGTCACTGGAAAATAGTCATCCAAACCACTGAGAGGATTATTTTCAATGACTTACTGAGTTTGGTTTTAAATGTTCCACATTAGTAATTGTCAATAAGCTTGTGTTCAGGGTTACAAGGAATCTTAGGACAGTAATTAAATTCATCAAAGACAGTTGAGTTTTCTTCAGTGTTGGGATATCTGAATGAGAAAGTGGAACAGTCTCCAAGAAACTGGGGACATGAGAAACAGTAATGGCCTAGGGTATAGTTTTTTGATCTTTTAAAATTTTTATTATAAATTCCAACTTACAGAAAAGTTGCAAGTAAGGAAGTCACATATACTCTTCACCCAGATTTATTGTTTTTATTTTGACCTACTTGCATTATTATCATTTCTTTCTTACTACATGTTTATGTGTATGTATAAAACACAACACAAACATACATACCGTTTTTTTTCTGAACCTTTGAAAGTAAGTTAAAGATATTATGCCCCTTGACCCTTACATACATTAGAATATAATTCCTTTTTTTTTAAATGTTATTGGATTATAGGTTGTTTTACAATATTGTGTTCGTTTCAGGCGTATAGCAAAGCAGAATGTATTTTCTGAGAGGACAACGTTCTCTTACTTAATCACAAAACAATTATCAAAATCAGTAAATTTAACAGTAATATAATAGGGGCCCACAGCAAATATTCAAATTTCCTCAGTTGTACTGACTTGCGAACATTGAGTTTACGTGACATTGAAATGTATTATAATTTTGAAAACAGAAGTTTACAAGTTACACAGAAAAACAAAAAAACACAAAAAGGCATTAATATAGGACAGAGATTCTAGGATACAGGAATCATTTACTTTCTTTAATAAAATTAACAAAAGTTCTTTGAAAAATCGGATACACCAAGTAGGAACATGGGCCCCTTCTCATTTCCTAAAGCAAACTCTAGGTTGGTTTAAGTATAAACAGTTTTTTACGTTTTTAAAAAAGAACCTAGTAAGTACTTACATTGAGATAAGCATTTGAAAACATCTTATTTAAAAATTACTATTGGAGTAATACATTTTTAAAAGAAAATACATGTCAGCAGGAAAAAAAAGTCTTCAGAAATTCTATAACTCAGAGATATTCACTGTTCACATTGTGATTTAAGTTTTCTTACTGCTGAAATAATGGAAAAAATGCCCAGTGATACAGTTGATTGATTCAATTTTCCCTTAAATATCTCTCCAATAAAAATCAGTAAAGCTATAGTTAAAGAAAGAAAGAAATTGGAATGAAAATTTATGATATATGGTAAAACTATTATATTACTATTTTATAAATTAATATGAATCTATCAGAGGCGTTGAACATGCATATCTTTTGAGGATAAATGTAGATTTGTAAAAAAGTTTCAAGAAATGCTCAATTTCACTTATATATGAATTAAATATAACCTATACCATACACTTATTAATTAGAAAAGACAGATTAATATGATAAAAGCTAGTAAATTACAGTGAAGCAAATATATATATTCCTGCTGACACTGTAAATTATTAAAAATCTTTTTAGAGAGTTTGTTCAACCTTTATTTAGCAAATAATAAATACCCAACATGTGCCAGCATTGTGAGTTAAGTAGTTATTATTGGAGAAGAAAAAATGAAACACACTCTTCAGTCTGGTCATTCTATCCTTTTACTATGATTGTCCTTCAGTGTTCATTGCACGAAGCCAAATACTCAGCAGGTGGGAAATGCAGAAGTTCATTATGGTATTGATACATTAGGTAGAATAAAACATCATAATGCCATCAAAGTGATATGTAGACTAGGTAGGTAAATGGACATTTTAATTCAGATTTAATAACGGTAAGCAAAAATCATAGTTATACCAAAGTACATAACTCAATATATAATCATTTATGGAGAATATTCCATCCATGAAAAACAGTATACATAAGATAATAAAATCAAAAGAGAGAATAGACTTTATTTTTAGCCTTGCACATTGCTCTTTATTTCCAATTCCCATTTCTAGCCACGGAAATAAGTTAAATATCAGCTAAGGTTTTTTTTTTTCTTTTTGTCTTGTCTGCAAACAGATTTTATTGAGCTATATTCTAAAAGTAATATGTAAAGTTCTGATAAAGATTATTTAAAAGATGGTTTCCCCAATGTTGAAAACACCCCAATTAAAATAATAGATTCCAGTGTATAAATTGAATGGTAATAATTTAAATAAAAGATTAAAGCATTCAAGATATAGGATCTTTGTAAACACAGCAAGCAGAAATAGCTGATAATCCCACTAAAGTGTCTCTTAAAAGAATGAAGATATAAATTACAGGTGCTGACTTTAATATTATGTGAGTGCTAGTGAAGAAACTTTATTAGCAGGAGTTCCCTGGTGCTCCACTGGTTAGGACTCAGCACTTTGACTGCAGTGGCCTGGATTTGATTCCCTGCTTGAGAACCAGGATCCCGCAAGCCAAGTGGCATGGCCAGAAAAAGGAAAAGAAAAAATTTTATTAGCACCATTTTATTTACACGTCATGTGGTAAAATCATAAATAGCTCATCAGTTTGTATGGATCCAGTGGATTTATTGATATTTTTTTAATTGGCAGTTAATCCTTTACAGTGTTGTCTTGGTCTCTGCTCTACAACGTGAATCACGTATTAGCTAAGGCTTTTTTGGTGACAAATGCTTTCAACATCAGATGGTTTAAAAGATTTAATGGAAGTGTCTTGTTTCTCCAGATTATCATCGATGGGCAGGATATTAGGACATTTAATGTAAAGTATCTGAGGGAAATAATTGGAGTGGTGAGTCAGGAGCCAGTGCTCTTTGCCACCACCATTGCTGAAAATATCCGTTACGGCCGTGGAAATGTCACCATGGATGAAATAAAGCAAGCTGTGAAGGAAGCCAACGCCTATGAGTTTATCATGAGATTACCACAGGTACAGCCTCTGTTCATTTAAGTGCCCTTGAACTTCACTCATGCCACCGAGTTCTTTCTTCAAAGCTTAAGCTAATAATGTTTGAGGTTCCAGGTTGTCCAACTTTGCTAGGTAAGACCCTTGAATTATCCATTTGGAGGGTTAAGGAGTGTGGCTTGGTACAGTGACTCACAGGAAATTTTATACAGGGTTTGTGTTAGTGGTTTTTTAGAATGTGACATGATTTATTATGATTTGTGATTTATTATGCTGGTCAAAATGAAACGCCCTGTTGTCTTCCATGAATCCCTAGACTCCAAGCTGCTTCTATTTGAAATATTTCAAGAGCTCTACCACGCTTTCTGTTGTAGAAATTTGACACCCTGGTTGGAGAGAGAGGGGTCCAGCTGAGTGGTGGGCAGAAGCAGAGAATCGCCATCGCCCGGGCCCTGGTTCGCAACCCCAAGATCCTGCTGCTGGACGAGGCCACCTCAGCGCTGGACACGGAGAGTGAAGCCGAGGTTCAGGCGGCCCTGGATAAGGTGGGTGGATCCTCCACCCCTGAAGGAGCAGCCCACTGACACTTTACTGAAATTCTCACCAGTGCTTTGCGAGCCTAGGCTGAAAACCGTGAACACGAGAGCAGATGAAGCTCGCCCGTGGGGCTTTTGTTTTTAGCGTTTTATTTCATATTGGAGTGCAGTTGATTAGCAATGTTGTGATAGTTTCAGGTGCAGAGCAGAGCAACTCAGCATTTCCAATCCATGTATCCATTCTCCCCCCACCCAGGCTGCCACATGACATTGAGCAGAGTTCCCTGTGCTGTTCAGGAGGTACTTGTTGGTTATCCATTTTAGATATAGCAGTGTGTACATGTCAATGCCATGGGACTTTCTTGATTTCTCCTTTCTGTCAGGGCGCACTGCAGAGAGAAGTGGGCAGCCCATTTACTGGCTTGCTTTGTTGGACCAAGGTGCAGTTATCCCCCAGTCCAGGCCTGTGCAGTGAGCTGCTTAGCTTTGGGGGTTTTGTTTGGTTTTTTACACATGGGTTAGGACTTTGATCAAAAGTTCTTGCAGTAAAATGTACAGAGAAAATTCTGATTACTTACCCAGTGGTCCATCTGAAAAGCAGTTCAAAATACTTGCCTTATTTTGTAGCAGTACATCATCTTTCTCTGTTCATAAAAGTGAATGGGTGCTTTTCTGGAAATAAAGTTGAACTCATGGGCCTGGCTCAGTGTTTCTAAATCTCTCACTATCGTCTTTACTAAGCTGAAGCTTCACAGCATGAACCTTATCTTGGGACACTTTCAAGGTTAGTGCTGATGTCATCTGTCATAACAACACAGTATAAAAACTAGCCAGATGACACTATGTAAATAGATTTCACACACATAAATATCATAAACATTTTTTACTTCAGAAAGTTTAGTAATAAAATGTGCAAGTTATGTAACAGTCTATCCAAATTGCCTCTTGAAATATTGTTTTTTTGAATTGACCTACTTTAATTTTCAGTTTTTATTGAAATATAGTTGCTTTACAATGTTGCATTAGTTTCAGGTGTTCAGCAAAATGATTCAGTCATATATATATATGTGTATGTATGTATATTATATATTTTATATCTGACATATGTCCTCTTGGAATTATACAGATGAGCTGTATGAACCTTATTTTCTCAGGAAAACTTATACTTGCATCCTAAGTAAACACAACTGCCTTGTGTGCTGTAAGTAGTTAATTCAGGCTTCGTGGTTTATCATGTTAACATTTTGGCTTATTTTATGTAATGTAATTTAATAATTAATGAGAGAATATGATAATTATTCTTCATAAATTTGTGTACTGAATTACATTGCTTTCATGTTTATTAAGTCTCAAGGAACCGAAGTATAATACATAGGGGACTTATATTTGGTTGGTTAATTAGAAGTGACTTAAACCAGGAAATCATGAAAACAAATACATGCATTCATTAAACAATCGATTTAAAATGTGTCAGTATAGCTTTTTTAGCATAGAGTTAACGTGCGATAAGAGGTATTTAGGAAAAAGTCCCAGCAGCCCTGGACCCAGGCCCCAAAGCTTTCTAGGAGGTGTGCATTCAGAATAGCAGCCCTGGCTGTGCTAAACAAGCAGAATGACTGAAAAGTCTGTTCATGATGTGGATTCTGTCAGCAAAAGTTGTATCCAATGCAAGTTTTAATTCATATTTGGATACATTTCTTCTTTCAATTTTAGCAATTTGTGTTGGCAAACACAGAAGCTCTAAGGCCTCTTAAAGTCTATGCTTCGGACATTGAACAAGCATTGATTCCTTCACATCTTTTGCTTAAAACTAGTCACATGGCCTGCCCGAATTTGAGGAGGTGGAAAAATACAGTCCATCTCTGAAGGGAATAGCTGCAAAGAGTTTGTGGCCATTTTTTATCTACCGTAGTTGCTACAGATGGTTTCTAATCTATGGACTTGACTCCATACATTGCAAGATAACTGAAATATTTTTCAGACAATAAACTATGCCTTTAAGAGGGAAGTCGTTCGTTCATACTGCACTCTCCCCCAGTGATACTGGTCAGTCAGTTGGCTGGTCCATCTGGTTAAAAACCAACTCTCTTTTAACAATGAAAAGTTGAGTTTTGTAATTCTCTGTCCTGTGAGGAGCATAAGGATATAACACTATTACTGTTTCTCCTCTCTGATTACCTAGCCTGGAAGCATAATATTTTTCTTTTGTAGATCCTTTCTACATTTATCACCATCTCTTGTCTGGCACCATGTTATTATAGTTAGCTGTTTAACTCTCTTTCTCTCTCGTAAGAGGCAGAACTGATAATTGGCTCATGTTTACTCTATAACACCTACTCCAGTGCCTGCACATAGTAAAGCCTGAATAAATTTTTACTGAATTGATTACCATGGCCTAGCTCATTGAATAATACATTCTACATTAGAAAAAAATAATTAATGACCATATCTACTTTTGGCTCAATAGATAGCAGCTGTTCTTCAAAATAAATAATAGGTTTTTCAGTATAAAATCTTAAAGAAGAATAGAAAAGCAGAGTTGATATTTGGATTTTTTAAAGAAAGTCAATAATCCCAAAGTTTTTTACCTGTGTCCCTCTTCTACTCATAGTGTTTCCATACTGGAGGGGCAGGAAAAAGAATGAAAATAGTGATCTAATGAAATGATCCCTAAAAGTTTCCATTTATGCTTTTTCCCCAGAAGTCAGAAAGACTCATAGATTAGTCCTTCCTCTGTTTTGGCGTACCGTTCATTCCTGTGCTGTGTGCTCAATTACACAGCCGTGTCCGGCTCTTTGTGAGCCCAGGCACTGCAGCCTGCCAAGCTCCTCTGTCTGTGGGATTCTCCAGGCAAGGACGCTGGAGTGGGCTGCCAAGCTCTCCTCCAGGGGATCTTCCCAACTCAGGGATCGAACCCAGGTTTCCTGCATCACAGTCAGATTCTTCACCATCAGAACCACCAGGGAAGCCCGCCTGCACATCCAACATTAGAAGTTTCAGATTTCTTCATAGTTGGTCTCCTTGAATCTGGGATACTTGTTTGCCAGTGTCTTTGTCATTGTGGGGGTGTTTGAAAATATTCTTTTGTGTCAAATCTTCTCTACTCTAGCCAAAATTCTTTGGTCAAGGGTGATGGTGGCTAACTTCGAAATTCACAAATACATACTTTGTTTCTCCTGCACAGGGGTCATTTATTCACAAATCTGACTCCCGATTTCTTTGTATTTATTTTTTTAAGTTGACGTAGCATTAACCTATTGTTATCATAATGATAAACCCAGCCACTGTTAGCAGTTACTCATCACTATTAGTATCATGAATATAATTGGATTGATCAAATTATTTCCTATATACCTTATCATTCATGGACAAAGCTGTGCAACTTCCTTCTTAGTATATCAGTAAAGATCTGTGAAGGTTTCCTTTGGGGCCCCATTGCTAAAAATCAAAGAACAGTCTTAAATGTTGTCCAGTAGAGTTATGCTCTCATCTCTGTCTTTTGATGCTTTCATGTGTGTTAGTCACTCAGTTGTGTCTGACTCTGCAACCCCATCAATGGTAACCTGCCAGGCTCCTCTGTCCCTGGGATTCTCCAGGCAAGAATTCTGGAGTGGGTTGCCATTTCCTTTTCCAGGGAATCTTCCCAACCCAGCGATCAAACCTGGGTTTCCCCCATTACTGGCAAATTCTTTACCATCTGAGCTACCAGGCTCTTTTATATTTATTGAAACATAATTGATTGATTTATCTGGTTATTAGTATAAGGCCTGAAGAAAAAAACATTTTTTTTCCAGGTGGCTACACAATTGACTCAGTACCATTAATCACATAGTTTGCCTTTTCTCTACTGATAGACAATGCAATTTATCACACACTAATTCTTAAAAATGTATTTCTATTCTGGACTTTCTATATGGTTCTGTTTATCAAATTGTTCATGTAATAGCTTCCTCTGGGTTTTATTGTTTTAATTGCTGTAGTTTTTTATGTTTTAGTATCTAGTGGAGATATTACCCAGATACTTATTAACTTTTTCAGAATTTTTGTGGATGCTCTTTTTAAAAAGATTGATGAATCTTTTAAAAATATTATTATACCATGAAGTTCACCCTTTTTAAATGCACAGTTCATTGGTTTTTAGTATTAATATATTCACAAGATTTTGCAACCATCTGCATGATCTCACTGCAGATTTTTTTCTTTTTTCCAAAAAAAAACCAAACTCTTGTACCCCATAGTACTCACTCTATTCTACCCTCATCCTGGTGCTTGGCAACCACTAATCTTTCTCTTTCTCTGGATTTTCCCATTCTGGACATTTCCTATAAATAGAATCATACAAGGAATGGTCTGTTTAACTGACTTCTTTAACTAACTTAGCATCATATTTTTGAGGTCCATCCATATTGAAACATGTATCAGAATCTCATTTCTTTTCCTGGCCCAGTGCTATTCCATTGTATGGATATACTACTTTTGTTTATCTTTTGATCAACTCAACACTTGGATTGTTCTCACTTTTTGGCTATTATGAATCTAGCCTCTCTTTTTTATGTTTTTAACTGCTTATGTGATTTGGGCCACCCTAAATAACATCCTAACAACATGGTTTTATTGCCTCAGAGTAGGTAGGAGTGGTCTTAAGAAGTTGTTAGTCTAATAGGGTAATGAATATAAAAAGAATAACTATTGTTAATTACATAATGTGAATAATTTGATGGACATTTTCCAGGGTATAAATGCTCATTCATAAACCCATCAAACTAATGTGAGTTCACTGAACAACTTAGGGGGTGATTTGTAGATTTCAGTATCCATAAAAACCACCCAAAGTGTTTGTTAAAATCACAGTTACTGGCCCCTCTCCAGAGTTTGTGATTGAGATGGTCTTTGAACCATAATTTAAACCATCCAGACCCCAGGATATGTTTTTGCCTAAGGTGCCTGCACATAGTCCATCAGAATTACAATCACAGTAATTACAGAATTGCAGGCGCTTCAGAAGAAATCCTACAGAAGTGCTCTGGAGAAGGCCTTATGTGGCAACTACTTCTCCACATGCTTCTGCTCAAGTCTTTAGCACATCCTATAACTCAGAACTAGGGCTCCTCACAATGGTATGAAAACATTAGAGAAACTCCAGAGTTTTCCATCTTCATCCTGGGGGCCTGGCCTCCTGTCTGGTCCAGAATTTAAGTCACCTGTATCCATTCACGTGTGAGTGATGCCCTTGTGCCCTGACCACACAGGCATGGTGAGCTGCTGTCCCGTCAACCACAGACACCCCCATCTGCGTGCTTCATTGCGTGTTAATCAGCAGTGCAAGGTCGGTGTGACCCTGCTGCCCTCCATGCCTGTCCTTCTCCCTCTAGGCCAGGGAAGGCCGGACCACCATAGTGATAGCGCACCGGCTGTCCACGATCCGAAATGCAGATGTCATCGCGGGGTTTGACGACGGAGTCGTTGTGGAGCAGGGAAGCCACAGGGAGCTGATGACGAAGGAAGGGGTGTACTTCAGGCTGGTAAGCACGCAGGTGTCTGCTGCTTGGGAAGTTTTCTGTGGCTTTTTCCTTAATACAGTATCTTTCTTTATTAAAATACCACATAGCTAATGCTGTACAGAGAAATCAGAAGTATCAGAAAGATGCCAAGGATACATCTGAGACTTTAATTCAGAGTCGTTGAAGGAATCTGGGAAGAGAAAGGTGGGAAGAAGGGGAAATAAAAGAAAACGCCAAAAACATTCTGAACTTGTTGTTTAGGACAGTGATTCTTAATTGCCTGTTCAAACTAATGGGTCCTTCCCCCAGTAGATTAGGGATGTTCAGAGTGGTGGTGGGGGTAAGAGACTGATGCCAGGATCTCTGGCAGTTGGGAGAAGTCCTATGAGACCTTAAAACACTTCCCAGATCATCCTAATAAAGCCAATAGCAAGATTCATGGCTCTTGGAAGTGAATAGTTCAGTGTTTTGTTTTTTGTTTTTGGCTTGAGAGATCTCAGTTCCCCGACTGGGGATCAAACCCTGCGCCCACAGGAGTGAAAGTGCCAAATCTTAACCTCTGGGCCTCCAGGGAATTCCTGAGTTTGGTTTTCCTTTAAAACAACAACAACAATAACAACTATTCACTCTATTTCCTAAAGCAGGTTCTATTGATAATTATATTTGCCTTATTATTGAAATTAGGCACTTGAGCAATTTTGCAAAATAAATAACTGAAAAACATTTATCCGGTAAACACAATTCTTCTATTTGTAAAAGTTTATACATTTGCTTTGATAACTGTAACTAATATGTACATATTTTTGTTATTTTTTCTTCACATTTCAGATACACATCATCCAAATACTATCATTTTATATGTCCTCAGCAGTAATTACATTAATGTGTAATAAAATGCTCAATCATTTCTCTAAAGTTGAATACGTGACTTGTTTCTAGTAATTCTCTGTTCTAAATATTGCCCTTTGGGAGCACGTGGCAGGGAGTGGGGTGAGGGTGGATTCCAAAAAAGTTAAGTCAAAAATTTGTTTTGTTTTCTGAGAAATAATTTAACTCCTCTGAGTCTCAGTTTCCACATTTGAAATACAAAACCTACCATGTGAGGCTGCTGCAAGGCTAAGAAATAAGCACCTAAACGTTTAGTTCAGTTCAGTCGATCAGTCGTGTCTGACTCTTTGCAACCCCATGGACTGCAGCACACCAGGCTTCCCTGTCTATCACCAACTCCTGGAGCTTATTCAAACTCATGTGCATTGAGTCAGTGATGCCATCCAACCATCTCATCCTCTGTCATCCCCTTTTCCTCCCGCCTTCAATCTTTCCCAGCATCAGGGTCTTTTCAGATGAGTCAGCTCTTCACATCAGGTGGCCAAAGTATTGGAGTTTCAGCTTCAGCATCAGTCCTTCCAAAGTATATTCAGGGCTGATTTCCTTTAGGATAGACTGGTTGGATCTCCTTGCTGTCCAAGGGACTCTCAAGAGTCTTCTCCAACACCACAGTTCAAAGGCATCAATTCTTTGGCACTCAGCTTTCTTTTTAGTCCAACTGTCATATCCATACATGACTACTAGAAAAACTATAGCCTTGACTAGACAAACCTTTGTTAGCAAAGTAATGTCTCTGTTTGTAATATGCTGTCTAGGTTGGTCATAGCTTTTCTTCCAAGGAGCAAGCATCTTTTAATTTCATGGCTGCAGTCACCATCTGCACTGATTTTGGAGCTACAAAAAAATAAAGTCTCTCACTGTTTCCATTGTTTTCCCATCTATTTGCCATGAAATGATGGGACTAGATGCCATGATCTTAGTTTTCTGAATGTTGAGTTTTAAGCCAACTTTTTCACTCTCCTCTTTCACTTTCATTAAGAGGCTTTTTAGTTCCTCTTCACTTTCTGCCATAAGGGTGGTGTCATCTTCATATCTGAGGTTATTGATATATCTCCCAACAGTCTTGATTCCAGCTTGTGCTTCACATAGCACAGCGTTTCTCGTGATGTACTCTGCATATAAGTTAAATAAGCAGGGTGACAGTATACAGCCTTGATGTACTCCTTTCCCTATTTGGAGCCAGTCTGTTGTTCCATATCCTGTTCTAACTGTTGCTTCCTGACCTGCATACAGATTTCTCACGAGGCAGTTTAGGTGGTCTGCTATTCCCATCTCTTTCAGAATTTTCCACAGTTTGTTGTGATCCACACAGTCAAAGGCTTTGGCATAGTCAATAAAGCAGAAATAGATGTTTTCTGGAACTCTCTTGCTTTTTCAATAATCCAAGGGATGTTGGCAATTTGATCTCTGGTTCCTCTGCCTTTTCTAAATCCAGCTTGAACATCTGGAAGTTCTCCATTCACGTACTGTTGAAGCCTGGCTTGGAGAATTTTGAGCATTCCTTTACTAGCGTGTGAGATGAGTACAATCGTGCAGTAGTTTGAGCATTCTTTGGCATTGCCTTTCTTTGGGGTTGGAATGAAAACTGACCTTTTGCAGCCCTATGGCCACTGCTGAGTTTTCCAAATTTGCTGGCATATTGAGTGCAGCACTTTCACAGCATCATCTTTTAGGATTTAAAATAGTACAACTGGAATTCCATCACTTCCACTATTTTTGTTCATAGTGATGAGCCCCACCTGAATATACTATAAAAAGCACTTTAAAAGGGTGAATTTCACCATATATGAATTTTGTCTCAATAAAGCTGTTATTATTATTATTTTTTTTTTTTGAAGAGCACCTAACACAAAATAGATGCCTGACAAATGATAGTTACTGGTTCTAAACTTGAAGGTTACATCCATCTGGACACACAACTCAACATTTTGTTCTTCTTCTAGATTTCAGGAAGCCAGATCCAGTCAGAAGAATTTAAAGTCACACTCGCTGATGAAAAGCCTGCCATGGGTTTAACTCATCCCATAGTTAGGCGTTCTCTTCATAAAAGCCTGAGGAGTTCACGACAGTATCAGAATGGCTTTGATGTGGAAACCAGTGAACTTGTAAGTTGTTTTTCAGTTATCTTTCATTGTTTAGTTTTGCTGGTGAAATCCGTAGCCTTGCAAGTATATTGTAGGCACAGACGATTCCCACTGTGAGCCACACTCTTCTTAAAAGAAGGACAAATCCAATATTAACTGCACTTGTCAAAAATTGAAATCAATTCCAATTAACAATGGATTTTCAATGAAAAGGGATCCCAAAACATAGGCTGTGTGCTTAGATGCTTAAAATTAAAACAAGATGTTCCATTCATTTTTCAGATCCAGAGTAATACCAGGCTGGTCTAAAATAAGAGGCCCTAATATTTGCATGATCTATTATGTAGGATTATTTTGATTGTCTATACTAGGAAACCCAGAGTAATATCAATTTAAGAGAAGTAAGGTTTTATTTCTCTTTCACATTAAAACAAACAAGAAAACTTAGAGGTGAGAAACCCAGGGTTACAATGGTAACTCCACCATGGTTACCATGGACTCAGGCTCGTTTTATATTTATTCTCATTACCCTGGCATGTAGCTTTCATTCTCAATAATCTAAAATGACTCTGGAAGCTCCAGCCATCACATCTATGTTCCAAGCAGCAAGAAGAAACAAAGATTTTCCAGACATCTCATACAGTACTTAAAAAAAAATCCTATATCATTGGCCATAACTTAATCACATGTTCATACTTAGCTACAAGGGAGGGTAGAAAACAGAACCTTTTTGCCATATGCATTGCTACTCTGAGTAAAACTGGAATTCTCTTACTAGGAAAAAGGACAGAATAACCAGAAATATCCAAAGAGTACATTCTTTAATATTTCTCACCTGAAACCTTGGGATTTTTTTTTTTTGATCAACATCTTGCACTTTATAATACAAATGTTTACATAAATCTCATGCTTACAGTACAAAAGGCAAAGGACCTCAAGAGAAGTAACTGGGATATTATTAATTCAAGTTAACAGAAGCTTTTATAATAGAGAGGGAACACATTATAAGAAAAGATATTTTATGACTTTAAGAAATGATTTAGGAGTGTATTTTGATGTTATTCCCTGGTAACTCAGTTGGTAAAGGATCTGCCTGCAATGCAGGAGACCCTGGCTCGATTCCTGGGTCAGGAAGATTTCCTGGAGAAGGGAGAGCCTACCCACTCCAGTATTTTTGGGCTTCCCTTGTGGTTCAGCTGGTAAAGAATCTGCCTGCAATGCAGGAGACCTGGGTTCAATCCCTGGGTTGGGAAGATCCCCTGGAGAAGGGAAAACGTACCCACTCCAGTGTTCTGGCCTGGAGAATTCCATGGACTGTATAGACCATGGGGTCGCAAAGAGTTAGACACGACTGAGCAACTTTCCCTTCACTTTGATGTTATTTACTCATAAAATCTGGGGCCTCCCCAGGTGACTCAGTGGTAAAGAATCTACCTGCCAATCGGGAGACAGGGGTTCTATCCCTGGGTCAGAAAGATCCCCTGGAGGAGCCCTTCTCATCTCTGCAGTGAATAACATCCTGGGCAGAGAAAAACAGACGCAATGCACTCTCAGTAGGATCAGTTTCTTCATGCCAACACAAGAGGTAGAATACACTCAGCTTTTATTAACTGTTGTTTCGTTGCTAAGTCAAGTCTAACTCTTCTGTGACCCCCTGGACTGGATGTAGCCCACCAGGCTCCTCTGTCCATGGGATTTCCCAGCAAGAATCCTGGAGTGGGTTGCCTTTTCCTTCTGCAGGGTTCAGAGATGTGTAAAAAAACAAACAGGGGGAAAATCACAAAACAAGTTAAGCTATGAAGTCTGTAGGGAATGCAGACTAAAGTTAAAAGTTAACTAAAGTTAGTCTGCCCTACTGTTAGTAGTAGTGAAAGAAAAGGGCGTGGGTACTTCAGTTTTGTGAGTTAGGACATGACACAGTTAAGGTGCTAGGCAGGGTTCTGGGGTGAGGAGACCGGGCCCAGGTCCTCAGATGAATCACAGCGCCTTGTGTTGGTGAGGATGCTTAACCCGTCTATTTGTGGGTCATATCTTGCATGACCCCAACATCATGACTTGAATTTTAGGGCATCTGGTGCCCAGATCCTGCTTCTGCTCACTTGCTGAGGCTGGGATAGAGAAAGGCTGGTCACACTGTGAGGACTGCTCCTTGGGTGATGGACTCCCTCAGCTTATGCTGTGCAGTCCATTTGTTGTTGTTCAGTCACTCGGTCATGCCCAGCTCTTTGCGACCCCATGGGCTCCAGCATGTTAGGCTTCCCTGTCCCTCACTATCTTCTGGAGTTTGCTCAACTGCACACCTATTAAGTCAGTGATGCCATCCAACCATATCATCCTCTGTCGTCCCCTTCTCCTGCCTCCAATCTTTCCCAGCATCAGGGTCTTTTTCAATGAGTAGACTTTTCGCATCGGGTGGTCAAAGTATTGGAGCTTCAGCTTCAGCATCAGTCCTTCCAGTGAATGAATATTCAGGGTTGATTTCCTTTAGGATTGACAGGGACATAGTTAACATCTTGTCACATCCTGTGGGACCCTCCTGTGGTCTGCCATGGCCTCGTCATTCCCTCCGCCCAACTTGTAAGTTCCTGGAGGGCAGGCCGGGCCCTCTCCGGGTCCACACTCGTGACTGGTGTTGCTGCCTGTTCGTCTTGATGTGTGTGTGTTCTAGGATGAATCTGTGCCACCGGTGTCTTTTCTGAAGATCCTGAAACTGAACAAGACAGAGTGGCCCTACTTAGTGGTGGGAACCCTGTGCGCTGTGGTCAACGGGGCGCTCCAGCCGGCCTTCTCGGTCATCTTCTCGGAAATGATAGCGGTGAGTGTGGAAACACCACTGGATGGCCTGAGTGAAATCACTTCACCAGGAAGTCAGTTCTCATGCCAGCCCGGTCCACTCTGCAGTAAGGCAGCCTCCAATGAAACTAAGCCAAAGGCTTTCATTCCCTGTTGAGGAAAGCCGTGAGGCAAAAGAAAATGTCAGCCAGTTATGCTATCAAGGAAATTAGAAACTGCAAGGTCCCTGAAGGAGGCGTTCTAGTCACTCCCTCCGCTCGGGTGAACTGGTGTCGGGCTGTGATCCCCACCCTGTTTGTGGAGAGGAGATGCCCACCTCACAGGATGGCTGGGTGGTGGGGGTGGGGGAAGAGTTCAAGTCTCAAGGGCTTAAGAGGCCGGGCTCTGGGCTCAGACCCCCTCGCCATTTAATTGCTGTGCTAAGTCGCTTCAGTCATGTCTGACTCTTTGCAACCCTGTGGAGCCCAGCAGGCCCCTCTGTCCATGGGATTCTCCAGGAAAGAATACTGGAGTGGGTTGCCATGTCCTCCTTCAGGGCACCTTGCTGACCCAAGGATATAACTTACGTCTCTTACGTCTCCTGCATTTTAAGTGGGTTCTTCACCATTAGCACCACCTGCGAGGCCCCCAATTGCCGTGAAAACTTGGGCTGATGCTTCACCTTGCTGTACCTCAGTTTGTTCATCTGTAAAACAAACCTACCTCCTAGAATGGCTGGTGATTAAGAGATGATAAAAACTATATGCCAATAAAAATTTTTAAAAAGAGAGATGATATAAGTAATGATTAATATACAGAAAGCATTTAAGAGTGTCTACCTCAAAGTATTAAAAAGTGCTACATCATTGTTCAGTAATCCTTACAAGGCTTGGAGAGGTTGAGATACAGAGATACAGTCCAGTTGAGATACAATCCAGTTGTTAAATTCCCTGAGGGATGTTTATCAGAAGTGATCAGAAATATCTAAGGCTCCTAAAATCTAACATTTATATTTTATAACCTTAGTTAATCTCTAATGTTATCAGAGAGAATTTTTATTAGAGTTGAATTATTCCCCATCATATAAAGAATTTATTATGTTTCTGAATTGGAATGTTGGTCTACAATTAAGACCACAAATTAAAAAATAAATGAATTAGGGAGAACCCACCAACTGTTTTCACAGTACAGAATAAAGCAATCCCTGACTCTCTTGCAATTCAAAAACAGTGTGGGCTGTATTCATATGTGGGGGCCTCTTCTTGGTGTCAAACGGAGCTTTTGGAGATTGAGTAGAGAACAAAATAAACCAAGTCCTGCCCCTAAACAGTTTACTTTCTATTGGGACAGATACATAACACACACACACACACACATACAAAACAAGTATATTACACATCACAGGATGGCAGACATTTTAAAAGCACAGTCAGGCAGTGGAGGGGCTGGCAATGGGGGTGATGTGTCGTGCGGTTTGATCGGGAGAGACCTCTTTGGGCCGAGGCCCTGTGGGGTGGGGTGGGGTGGGAGGCAGGTGAGGGGCAGAAGGAGTTCAGGCAGAGGGAGCAGCAGGTGCAGAAGAAGAGGAATAAATATGACAGTGTTCGCTCACCACAGTCCATGTGCAGTGTTTCAACCCATGTCAACAACCACACGCAGCAAGTCCTCCACAGGCGGACCTGCAGGTTGCGAACTTTCAAAGATGCAAACTCACATGCCAGGCCCTGTATGCCGCTGTTGTACTGCGGTACTTTACAGGGTTCTGTTCTATACGATTAAAAGGATTTCCTTTATTTTTTGCGTTTGTTTTTCATGTGTGCATTATTTGTGCGGTAAGTATTATAAACATGCTACTATGCAGCCGATGGTGTTTGTGGGGGTATCTAGGCTAACTTTGTTGGATTTACAAAAAAAAAAAATTGGACTTATGAACCTGCTCTTGGAACTGAGCTCATTCATATGTAGGGCACTTACTGTGTTCCTCAAATTCATGGAGACAGGAAGTAGAATGGTGGGACTAGATGGCTAGGGGTGGGGTCGTGGCAGTCCCTGTTGAATGGGTTAGGATTTCATTGTGGATGATGAAGAGTTATGGAAATGGATGGTGGCAGAGGTGGCACAACACTCTATCCTTCGCACCACTGTGTAGTACACTTAAAATCTACCACTTAGCTAACTTGATATTACATGTATTTTACCACAGTTAAAAAAAAGACAACACATATTCCAAACCTAGTTTTTAAAATGGGAT